AGTTCTTCTCTTCCGTTCTACGCCCTTGATTTGAGAACTGGCAGTAAATGTAAAATTAGAAGCATTTAATGTATATTTCTTTTTTTGACGTTCATAAGTGTACATTGTGTTAGCTATATGAATAAATAATTTTTGACTTTTGAATTTATTTATGCTCGCAGGAGCTGAAAAAACGTTCATGAATAACTTAATAATGAATAAATTAAAAAAAAATGTATACTATTTTTATTCCCTCAAAGGCATAAACTAAAATGGGTGCCCATGGTAGATAACTGCCCGTTTTGGGCGTCCCGTAGGCTCGTTTACTATAAAAAAGTAAGGATTTATGCAGTAAATTGGGAGCTATCATACAAATAAATTGTGCGTGTACTAGGTGTACACACGTAGAAGTGAAACTTCTTTATGATCTTATTTTTCGAAAAATGATCTACTATATGCAACTTTACAGAAATTCGTTAAATTAGATAAAGTTTAACAAAAGGCTTTTATTATCATAGACATGAATACAAATATTTCATTTTACCTTATTACTACGAAGATTATTATAGAATGTCATTAATTGTAATAGAATTATTACTATCATTGAAAAACGTGACGATTTGCTACAAAATTTCTCCCATACGTCGATAATGAAGTTTCATTCCAACGCCGATAAAGAAGTTTGACTTCAAAAAGCAACATGGCGCGTAACCGAAAAATGTGACGCGTAACGAAAAAATGTTACACTAAATTTTTTTTCCAACCTCGATAAAGAAGTTTCACTTCAAAAACCAATTTTAAATACTAAAGTATGCTTTTAAATTTAACAGTAACGTTATCAATTTTTACGAGTGCATTAACATTCAGTTTTTATATGTTTTTGAACGACAAAAAAATTAATTAAATTATATATGCACGATTATATAGACGAAGTCGTTAGCGAGTATGTGATAAATGTTTTTTTCTATATGGTAAAACAGGGCATTTAAATATATTGTTACTTTTTTCTATAAAAGTAAACAGCCATTTTCCTTATGCTATATGAAGCATTACTAGAATTTATGTGTAGGAGTTTGAACACATTTATCAATCAGCTATACACAAAGGTCACCGACCATATGGTGTCTGACGCTCAAATCTTTAGGCAAAACTTTTTTATTCAATGTTCTTGAATTACGCAAAATAAAAATTGTTTCCGGGCGTTGATTACTTTGAACTTGACGTTTCAAAGGTAGTTCGGAACCAATTTTGTATTGTATTATTATTTTTATTAATATTTTGTTATTATTTTTTGGTTTTTTCAGTGCGTTAAGATTATCATGTATACGTTTTTGTAATAACAGGGGCAGCCAGAAGGCTCGAAAGTGCGTTGCCGGCCTTTGTCTGACTTATAAGGACAAAAAATACTAAATGAACGGTAATTCAAATGAAATCACACTATGGGCTCTACTCATCTTTCATTAAATGAAATTTAAAGACTTATTATACTTAAACGGCTTAACTGACGTAACTTGATACCGCCGCCCATACTCACATTGTCAGAGGGCTCGCAAGTGCGTTGCCGGCCTTTGAAGCAGACGCTCTTTTCTTAAAGGGCCCTAATAATATGTAATTCGGCCAAATCAAACTATTTTATTCTTATCAATGTCTATGCCATTAATTACATCTCACAAGTACCAGTTATCAAAACATTCATAAATTGTCTTAGTTGGTTACTCATCAGCAGAGTTGAGTAACCATCCCAATATAGTATTCGTTTGTGACCAAGTGAGTCATGTCTGCATCTTGTGAAAGCATGGTTCATGTTACATCTGGAAATGTCGAGAGGGTCCAGTTGATTGCGACAATTAACATAAAAGCGAAATTAACTTGTTACCTATCTTAGATTTAAATTTGTCATAGGAAAAATCCAGTTCGCAAAAAAGACTGCGACTTTACATGAATTACAATCTAGCCTATACAATAATTATGGGTAATAAGTAATATTAAATAAAAAAATAAATCAATGTCGCTACAACCTTTTTAGGTCTGAGCCTCAGATTTCTGTATCTGTTTAATGATCATTTGCTAATAGGCAAGTAGGTGATCAGCCTTCTGTGCGGTGTGCCTGACGCACGCCGTTGACTTGTTGGGTCTAAGGCAAGCCGGTTCCCTCACGATGTTTTCCTTCACGGCACGAGCGAATGTTAAATGCGCACATAGAAAGTCTATCGAACCTACGACCTCAGGGATGAGACTCGCACGCTAAAGCCACTAGGCCAACACTGCTCATAAGTAATATTATGTTTACTTAATTTTCTACAATACTAATGAATAGCTTAAACTTAGGTAATGTTCATTAACAGTCTTTGTGTTCTATAATGTATTAACACTATGTTCGTGTGTCCGAGTTACCGCACTTGCACTTATATTCGCTACACGAGTTATTTACTCAAAATGTTTAGTTCTCTTTAGGCGTCTTATTCCTGTAATTTGTCATTTAAAATTATTATTTCGGTAACTTTCCTTTCGCTCAGAGGTCCCTTCATTCGTTAATTGTTTTTTAGTAATATTTTTACTTTTTAATTCTGACAGCGAATCGATCTTCCACACAACTCTTCTTTTGACATTGCGCCTAAACCAGCCAATATGTCCTAGGGGCACTAAGATTCATAGAAATATCTATGACGAAATGACCGTTTTAAAATTCTTCAAACTCTGTAATCTATATTTTTGGAACATAGACTTTTGTTAAGACATTTATGGATGTATGCGTAATATTTATTACTGAGGTTTTATTGAGAATTCAGAATTTGTGTCACGGTCGCCTACTCACACCCTCGCCGAATGACCTATCTCGTGTTTTCTTGTTTTGTCCTTAATGCTTATTTGTAGAATTGATCTCACAGGTCGTGATATTGCATTTACTTTATCTTAGCACGTCTCATCTCTAATAATAGCATTAATTAACTGCTCTTCAAGAAAAAGTTATTCGTCATACTTAAAATCGAACAGTTTTATTAATTAAAAGTAATTGTAATTTATTAAAAGTATTGTTAATAATTAAAAGTATAGTTACTTATAACTCAGTTACTTATAAATAAACTGACCATAGAAGGAGAATATATTTCTATGCTTTATGGTTAAATCTATGGTTACTAATTTTGTCTTTATTCCATAATTTCGTAGCATCGCTTTTTGGATGTAAAACAACCAATAAGTATTAGATAACAATATTTCTAATGGTCTTTTATCTAAGAGATTTAAATGTTAATTAATGTATGTTAATTGTAAGCCCCTGATTCGGGAAGTCGTTTAATTCTAATAATTAGGCCTTAGATTTCATTTAATAGAAGACACTGCGTATCCATAGTGAAGTATGATGTCATTTAAATTACCGTTTCAATCAGTCAGAAAAGCCAACGCACTAATTATATTGATTATAATATGTTTTAAATTTGAGCTTGTAGTTTCATGAAAATTCCAGAAGTACCAACACCTAGACGGGCTTAGCACGCGTAGTACAGCATATAGGTACGAATGAGACCTAGAAAATACAAAAAAAATAGTTTTAAGTTTATCGCGAACAGAAATACGCGTTTGTTTTACCAAAATGCAGTGATTAGATAATAATAGTATCTATTTATTGGAATATTCTATTAGAACTTTGTATTTACTACATATATAAATGAATTTACCTTCTAAACGATAACATAAAAACTGCACAAGTTACAGAAAAATTGGATAATGTGATGAGTTTTACGGCTTCCGAGAGAATTTTACATCATCCCTTTACAACGTGTTATGTAATTGTAATATTATTTGCATCTTCGAAACTTTCCATATTATAATAATCGCTATTTGTAAAGGAATTTCCCTGTCGGTTTTTATTTCTATATTCTATATTCAAATTTCAATAACGACCATAACAGTAGTTATTTTTTTATAATCTAAAACTTAACCTGGCCGTGTCTTTTTGACCGTCACAAAAAACCAGTTACTTTTCGACGCGTATGTTTTTTAAATCCTTTCATGTGGGGAGTGTTCGGTGTCAGTTTACGCAAATTCTAAATACAGCTTTCCCCTTTGCATGTTGATTACTTATTATAGGCAATTATGTCTGTGAGATGGATTTCAAGAAATGACTAAGTCAGAGCTAAATCGGGACTGGTGTGAATACCCTCGCACTTAAAATGAATGACTACTATAATATATTTTACTTGATTACGAGCTCAGAACTCATGCAAATTTTAACCTACTATAGAACTAGTTAAATAATAAACAGATGCAGTAGTATTTGCTGAATTTGTATGAAAACTTCGCCACAATCGTCGGAATTATCTTTTTTTATGGGGTCAGCAACCGTTGCTATGGTTACGAATTTTTGTTATGAGTAGATTAGAACAGTTAGTATCGGTATCAAAGAGTAGATATTTTGATACTCTTGATTACATAAAAATCGTTACGATTCAAGTAAAATGCAATTACAGTCAAAATCTGTTATAACGACATCAAAGGGACTACTCATATTTGGTCGTAAAAACCGATGATCGTAACAGCCGATGACGTTGTTATTATTTATTAAGTACCTAATACAATAGAATTCAGCCGGGACCTTTGATTTTGTTTTGTATCTTGTTCTAAACGATGTCGTCGTAATCGGTTTTGACTGTAATTATTTTTTATTGAAAGGAGTTGTAACTGAAATATCTAAGTACGATAGAACGAGCTGCTTTTGTTTATATATTTTTTAATAACTTTTAAAACTATCGGCAGAAGCTAACTTTACAATAATGTTAAACTTTATGAAGGCTTAAAGCATTTATAGTTTTGGTCGATACTATATCACAAAATCGGTATTTAGGTCTCGCATTAACAGTCTGATGCGTTAGATACGGCAGTTTTCCTGGCGCGTTGAAACGTCGCACTCGTACTTTATTGTTCATTAATTCGTAAATGTCTAATTTGAGGATAGATCGACCGCTTCGATTAACTCAATGTATTTCTGTAAGATGTAGTTAGCGCAATGAATGCGCCGTGTGATGGCTAAATTGTTAACTTTACCGCCAATACCTATTCTACGACGTTTTCCTTTGTATCTTCATCCGTATCGAAGAAAAAGGTAATAGTCGACAATTACTGTATAGTTTGCTTTCATTTTATGAGAAATGTGTATTTAAGGGATGGTACTTTACTATGGTTGAATCAATGTTTTAATCTATTTTTAGTACCGAATGAAAAATCAAAACCGAAATAAAATACGAAATGAACCTCGTCTCGTGGCCATCCTTAGCAAACATTTAAACAAAATTATTTAACTTTGTACAATGTATCCGTGAAAAATGCCCAAAAGCAACGACCTCTTGATTTCTGGTCAATATTTTCTTAGAATGATTAAGCAGAGTAGTAGTACTGATGCTATAAATTAATAGTGCTTACAAAAATTTACAATACAAGCTAATTTTTCAGGCGCCACCGTTGCCCACACAATGATGTCCCGGAGCCATTGTTCGATGTGGAGCATACTACGAGCGTGGTTTCCGCGTACAAACAGGATTATGACGAGAAACATGTCAGTCGAACAACAGCCGTTCATCACGAAGATCATTTATATCTTGAAGGTGATTTTCAAGAGCCGGAACGTCCTCAATGGCAGCCCATCGAACGGCGTAAGCCAACAAAGCCAGAAGACAACTTGAAACCTGAGGGTGAATTTTCTACACCTGAAAAGGAACAATGGAGGCCTGCAGAACGACAACGCCCTACAAAGCCAGAAGACAATTTACGGCCTGAAGGTGATTTCGAAAAACGTAAGCCAGATGAGTGGTATCCAGGAGATCGTGCTCCAGTTAAACGTCCTGAAGACAATCTGAGACCAGAAGGAGAGTTTGAAAAGAGAAAGCCACACGAATGGCAGCCTGGTGACAGAGCACCAATACGTCGACCACAAGATAATTTAAAGACGGAAGGTGATTTTGAAGATAGACAACCTGAAAAATGGCAACCTGGAGATAGAGCTCCAATGAAACGACCTGAAGATAATTTAAAACCGGAAGGTGATTTCGAGAAGAGACGGCCAGAAGAATGGCGACCAGGAGACAGGGCTCCAACACGTCGTCCTGAAGATAATCTGAGACCTGAAGGTGACTTCACAACACCTGAGAAAGAATCTTGGCGGCCAGCTGAACGTCAGAAACCCAAAAAACCCGAGGACAATTTATTCCCAGAGGGTGAATTTGAAGGTAGAAAGCCAGAGGTATGGAGACCAGGTGATAGAGCTCCAGTCAAGAGGCCAGAAGATAATTTGAAGCCGGAAGGTGATTTTGAAAAAAGACACCCTGATAAATGGAGTCCTGGAGATCGAGCTCCAACGCGTCGTCCGGAAGATAACCTTCGACCTGAAGGTGAATTCACTACACCTGAAAAAGAGTCATGGCGTCCGGCTGAGCGTCCAAAACCTATAAGGCCAGAAGACAATTTATACCCGGAGGGAGAATTTGAAAAGCGTAAACCTGAAGATTGGCGTCCTGGAGAAAGGGCTCCAGTAAAGCGGCCCGAAGATAACTTAAAACCAGAAGGAGATTTTGAGAATAGAAAACCTGAAAAATGGCAACCTGGAGATAGAGCTCCAATGAAACGACCTGAAGATAATTTAAAACCGGAAGGTGATTTCGAGAAGAGACAACCTGAAAAATGGAGTCCTGGAGATAGAGCTCCTATGCGTCGTCCAGAAGACAACCTAAGACCAGAAGGCGAGTTCACCTCACCTGAAAAGGAACCTTGGCGCCCAGCAGAACGTCAAAAACCTAAAAAGCCAGAAGATAATTTGTTCCCTGAGGGAGAATTTGAAAAGCGTGAACCTGAAGATTGGCGTCCTGGAGACAGGGCTCCAGTGAGACGGCCTAAAGATAATTTAAAGCCAGAAGGCGACTTCGAGGATAGAAAACCAGAGAAATGGCAACCCGGAGACAGAGCTCCAATTAAACGCCCTGAAGATAATTTAAAACCTGAAGGTGAATTCGAGAAGAGGCGGCCTGAAGAATGGCGCCCCGGTGACAGAGCTCCAACTCGTAGACCTGAAGATAATCTAAGACCAGAAGGAGACTTTACAACGCCAGAAAAAGAACTTTGGCGACCAGCAGAACGTCAGAAACCCAAAAAACCCGAAGACAATTTATTCCCAGAGGGTGAATTTGAAGGTAGAAAGCCAGAAGAGTGGAAACCAGGTGATAGAGCTCCAGTCAAGAGGCCAGAAGACAACTTGAAACCTGAAGGCGATTTCGAAAAAAGGCGCCCTGAAAAATGGAGTCCCGGTGATCGAGCTCCTACACGTCGTCCGGAAGACAATCTCAGACCAGAAGGTAAATTCACTACACCCGAAAAAGAAGTTTGGCGTCCGGCTGAGCGCCAAAAACCTACAAAGCCCGAAGACAACTTGCATCCAGAGGGAGAATTCGAAAAACGTAGACCTGATGAATGGCAACCAGCTGATCGACCTAAACAAAAGAAACCCGAAGATAACTTAAGGCCCGAGGGTGAATTTACTACACCTATAAAAGAAAAATGGCAACCAGCGGAACGGCAGCTGCCTAAAAAACCAGAAGATAATCTAAAACCAGAAGGAGACTTCGAAAACAGGAAGCCTGAAGAATGGCGTCCAGCCGATCGTCCTCATCAAAAAAAACCAGAGGATAACCTTAAACCGGAAGGGGAATTTACTTCACCTGAAAAAGAAAAATGGCAACCAGCAGAGAGGCCACAGCAGAAGAGACCAGTTGACAATTTAAAACCCGAGGGTGATTTTACAACTGAGCGTTCAATAACAGATGATTTCAAAGTCGTTACCGGTGAAAGGGCTAAAATTATTAAGCGCACTGATAATATTATTACTGAAGGAGAATTCACAGGTAATTATACTGTTCAGAGTAAAACTAGTAGTGTACTGACTATTTTCTTAACCCCGTCAGTCTATTCCATTATTAGAATAGTTATCTAATAATCATATTTATTTTATACCAACATATTATATTATATTATATATTGTTTACAAAATATATAACTAGTGGGTTCTCTAATCTAACATTAAAATATATTTTTTTTACAGATACCACAACTTCTCGCAGCGAATACTCAATAAAGCCACTAGAAAAACTAAAACCTGTACGTAGAAATACATGGACTAAGTTAGAAGGAGACATGACAACAGAAACAACTTCACAGTCAGAATACATTGATTTTACAGATTCTGTAGAGAGAACAACTCTAGTAACGAAAAGAACAGATAACTTAATTCATGAAGGTGAAATAGACTTCGTTACATCAAATCAAACAGATTATACAGAAAAAAATACTGTAGTAACACGACCCCAAAGGCGACGCACGTGGACGAAAGAAGATTTAGAAAAATTCTATTCAACTCAAAATACAGAGACAACAACTACAACTACACAAGAAGAATATAAGATTCGTGATGAACGATGGCATGAACGGCAACAACCTAAAAAACCTAAAGATAATCTTGTCCCAGAAGGTGAATTTTCAACCCCAGTAAAGGAAGACTGGCAACCAGCAGAACGAGTTAAACCCAAAAAGCCTACTGATAATCTGTTTCCAGAAGGCGAATTCACTACTCCCCAAAAAGAACATTGGCACCCAGCAGAGCGACCAATACAAAAGAAACCTAAAGATAATCTTAAACCAGAGGGAGAATTCCAACAGCCACAGCAAGAGGAATGGCGGCCTGCTGAGAAACAAATACTTAAAAGACCACAAGATAACCTTAAACCTGAAGGTGATTTCGAAACACCGAAACGAGAAGAATGGCGTCCATCGGAAAGACCAAAAGCTAACAAACCTGAAGACAATTTAAAAATAGAAGGTGACTTCACAACACCTGAGAAGACTAGATGGACTCCCGCTGAACGACCTGTGCAAAAGAGACCTCAAGATAACTTAAAGCCTGAGGGTGAATTTGCTCAACCCGTTCACGAAGAATGGAAACCAGCAGAAAAGCGTATTCAAACTAAACCAAAAGATAATCTTAAGCCAGAGGGTGAATTTGAAAAACCTAAGACCGATGAGTGGCGTCCCGTAGAACGAGCTCTGCCTACAAAGCCAGATGACAATTTACGACTTGAAGGTGAATTTGAAAAACGCAAACCTGATAAATGGAGTCCTGGTGAAAGAGCACAGGTACAAAGACCCTCTGATAACTTAAAACCGGAAGGTGAGTTTACGACTCCTGAAAAGACACAATGGCGACCGGCAGAACGACCCGTACAAACTCGGCCAAAAGATAATTTAAAACCAGAGGGTCATTTTGAGCAACCAAAGGTAGACGAATGGAAGCCTGCCGATAGACAAACTCCTATAAAACCCAAGGATAATCTTAAACCTGAAGGAGATTTCAAGCGACCCGAAAAAGAAGATTGGAAACCAGCTGAAAGGCCGGTCCAAATAAAACCACAAGATAACCTAAAGCCGGAAGGAGATTTCGAAGTACCAACACAAAAAGAATGGCGGCCAGCTGAACGCCCATCGGCTACAAAACCAAAAGATAATTTAAAACCAGAGGGTGACTTCGAAAAACCAAAAGAAGATAAGTGGAGGCCTGCTGAACGTCAAACTCCAAAGAAACCACAAGATAACCTTAGACCAGAAGGAGATTTCGAAGTACCAACACAAAAAGAATGGCGGCCAGCTGAACGTCCCTCGCCATCAAAACCAAAAGATAATTTAAAACCAGAGGGTGACTTCGAAAAACCAAAAGAAGATAAGTGGAGACCTGCTGAACGCCAAACTCCAAAGAAACCACAAGATAACCTGTGGCCGGAAGGAGATTTCGAAGTACCAACACAAAAAGAATGGCGGCCAGCTGATCGTCCCTCGCCATTAAAACCAAAAGATAATTTAAAACCAGAGGGTGACTTCGAAAAACCAAAAGAAGATAAGTGGAGACCTGCTGAACGCCAAACTCCAAAGAAACCACAAGATAACCTGTGGCCGGAAGGAGATTTCGAAGTACCAACACAAAAAGAATGGCGGCCAGCTGAACGTCCCTCGCCATCAAAACCAAAAGATAATTTAAAACCAGAGGGTGACTTCGAAAAACCAAAAGAAGATAAGTGGAGACCTGCTGAACGCCAAACTCCAAAGAAACCACAAGATAACCTATGGCCGGAAGGAGATTTCGAAGTACCTACACAAAAAGAATGGCGGCCAGCTGAACGTCCCTCGCCATCAAAACCAAAAGATAATTTAAAACCAGAGGGTGACTTCGAAAAACCAAAAGAAGATAAGTGGAGACCTGCTGAACGCCAAACTCCAAAGAAACCACAAGATAACCTGTGGCCGGAAGGAGATTTCGAAGTACCAACACAAAAAGAATGGCAGCCAGCTGAACGTCAATCGCCAACAAAACCAAAAGATAACTTAAAACTAGAGGGTGACTTCGAAAAACCAAAAGAAGACAAGTGGAGGCCTGCTGAACGCCAAACTCCAAAGAAACCACAAGATAACCTAAGGCCGGAAGGAGATTTCGAAGTACCAACACAAAAAGAATGGCGGCCAGCTGAACGTCAATCGCCAACAAAACCAAAAGATAATTTGAAACCAGAGGGTGACTTCGAAAAACCAAAAGAAGACAAGTGGAGGCCTGCTGAACGCCAAACTCCAAAGAAACCACAAGATAACCTTAGGCCGGAAGGAGATTTCGAAGTACCAACACAAAAAGAATGGCGGCCAGCTGAACGTCCCTCGCCATCAAAACCAAAAGATAATTTAAAACCAGAGGGTGACTTCGAAAAACCAAAAGAAGATAAGTGGAGACCTGCTGAACGCCAAACTCCAAAGAAACCACAAGATAACCTTAGGCCAGAGGGTCACTTTGAGACACCTACTAGAGAACAGTGGAGACCAGCAGAAAAGCCTGAAATAATAAAACCAAAAGACAATCTAAAAACAGAAGGTGAATTTGAAAAGCCAAAACATGATGAATGGAAACCAGCTGAACGTCAAAAGCCAAAGAAACCACAGGATAATTTAAAACCAGAAGGCGAATTTGAAAAACCGACGACAGAAAAATGGCAGCCAGGTGAGAGACAGACACCTAAAAAACCTCAAGATAACCTGAAGCCTGAAGGTAAATTTGAACGTCCTGATAAACCCAAGGCTGCACCAATTGGCGAGCGACCTGTTCAAAAGAAACCCGAGGATAATCTTAAACCAGAAGGTAATATGGAAGTTATACGGCGAACTGACTATACAGCTACCAGAGGTGATCGTGTCGACGTTGTGAAGCATGAAGATCATCTTAAAATGGAAGGTAAAATGGACATGCACCGAAGAGATGACTATAAACGCATAGAAAAAACTGAGAAAATCGTTATTCAAAAACATGAAGATAACTTGCGTACAGAAGGTGAATTTATTGATTTGCATATTCGAAATGATTACAATGCTACGAAAGGAGATAGAGCACCTGTTGTAAAGCCACAGGATAATTTGAAACCTGATGGAAAATTCTACAAGCCTGAAATTATTCCTTCCCAACCAGCTGAAAAAAGAAAACCATTTAAACATGTTGATAATCTTAAAATTGAACATGATCTAGATTTACGTCAGAAAGTTGACAGAGTTGACATTATAAGAAGAGAAGACAATTTAAGAATTGAAGGCGAATTTATAGATATGAAACAAAAGAATGATTACCAAGTAGTTACTGGTGAAAGGTCAGCGATAGTGAAACATGAAGATAATTTGAAAATGGAAGGCAAAATGGAAAATATACGCTCTTCAGATACTTATCGTCTCGTAAAAGGGCAAAAAGTTAAATTAACGCGCCGGGAAGATAACTTGAAAATTGAAGGAGTTTTTGAAGATCTTTCACGAAAAAATGACTATAATATAATTAAAAGTAGTAAACCAGTGATTAAGAGCATTGAGAATGAACCACATAATGGTGAACCAAGACAACTCACAAAAATAGACCAGACAAATGTAGAACACAGAAACACACATGTTACCTCAGAAAATAAAACTTCGATTCAAAGAATTGACACTGATGATCAGCAAAACTATACTTATCGACACAGTCAGGGAGGTCCCGGGGCACCACACCATAAACCTGATGAGCGACCTGGTTCACAGTCCAGACATCCTTCCTCTCCAAAGCATCAGGAAAATCCATCTGAACCGTACTCGCAAAAGCCGTCTGATAGAATGAAACCTGTGGAAGATCAAACCGACAAATCAAAGTGGAAGCCAACTGATTTTTCAACACCAATTGGTAAAACAGGTAAACCAACATATAAATCTCCTACAGAACCTGACCGCGAAAGCCCTAATAGACAAGATCGGCATTCCCATGAAAGACAAGTCGTTGATTCAGATACAACTCACAACACAAGGGTAAATCAAAGTGATACACATATTCACACTAGCAAGGTGACGGAATCTAGGCTTCATACTGAAAATCATAATCATTCTAATCGTATACATAGGAATGAAATAGATGTAAACAGAACTCAACACAATCATCTACAGAATGTGCAACAAGAAAATAATTTCCAGCAGCATCAACGTAATGAAAATCACAATCAATACGCTCAGCATCATCACGGAGCTACGACAAAACAAGTTATGCATTCACACGTCGATAACTCTACTTACCGTTCAGAAGACGTAAAGCATTCTAAAGTGTTGAGTCAAGATGACAGGAATATTAGACACGGTAGTGTTGATCGCATGTCGTCGACGAGTTCAGTCGATCAAAATAAATTAAATCGTACTTCAGGTTCAATACCTAAACAGAATGACAAAAATATAATTAATAAGAGCGATTCTAGATCAACCAAAAATACGTCAACATCTTCAACCTCTACGAAAACAATGAAACAAGTAACCGAAAAGAAATTAAGAGGGGGTAAATGGGTAAATGTAACTAAGATGGTTGAAGTAAATAATATTACTGCTGATACGGAAAAATCACATCCCATACATTCTGAACCTCACCAGGTGCCTGGTTTAAAAACAGGTATAAGCGGAAATACAGGTAGGGTGATTTCGACGGAACAAAGTAATTCTTCGTCAAATCAATTCCATTCTTCACAGAAGAATCAATATAATCGCAATCATAGCGATGTATTAAATACAACATACTCTGTAAAAGGCACGACTGAATCTGACAATATCCGACATCAAAGGCAAAATGATAACAGCCAGCAACAACATGAGAATATTTCGTCATCCAAACAAGTTTCTAGCTCTACGAAACAAATTAAATCGACACATATCAGCGACAACAGTTCTCAGATCTCTCAAACATCTCGGAGCGTTTCAGATATACGTAGTGGAGATCAAATCCTTGGAAAGCACTTAATACATGACAAAAGTGACACTACAAGGATTATCAATAATCGTGGTGGCTCTGGTGACCAACACGACCATCAAACATCATCAATACATGATAATAGTGACACTACAAGGATTATCAATAATCGTGGAGGATCTCGTCACCAACACGACCATCAAACATCATCGATACATGATAAAAGTGGCACTACAAGAATTATCAATAATCGTGGAGGCTCTGATAACCAACACGACAATCAAACAACCATACGAAAGGGTGCAGATGTTTCAAATATTTCCACTGTAAGCCACGAACATAACACAAAACATACTCACGTTTCCAATCAAAACCATACAGTAAACAGAAATCAGTTAAGCGACAGTGTAACTAAAACTAGCGTTGAGTTTCAAAGAGCTATGCATGGTGGGGACAATTCTCTTTCCCAACAAGATCACTCCAACCGAAGTGGATATCATAAGCGTACTTCCGACTTTATATCCGATGCCAATTCCAGTAACGCTGTTCTTCATCGCAAAGGAGTTACTTCAAATACAGAAGCATATCACACTACAAGTTCCACCGCAGCGGCACAACGGAAAAGTATCAGCAATTTGTCAGAGCGTGGTGAATATATAAGCAATTCGACTCAAAGCGCAGACAGGAAGAGTATCAGCTCAATGCACAGATCGGCTAGAGACAACACAGCTGTTACATCTCAGCACACTGAAAGTGTCGATACTCGACGTCAACAAAGACGGGACGGGCAATCCACGTTTGTTACAGAGCGACAACCTCGTGTCGTAATAAAAGATAATCTACGCGTTGGCGGTGAGTTCTATGGTCAATCAGAAGCCCGGTATGGAAGCTTTTCTAAATCGCAACATTCTCAAAAGATTGACCGATCCGAACATATCGAGAGAGTTGAGCGACACTCGCGACACGGATCTAATTCACATTTCGTTCTCGGAGATGGGAGTGGAACAAGCTATAAACAAGAATTTAGAGGCCACGTTCATGGAACGTGTCCAGCAACGTTGTTAGAATCTACGCGGACTCCGTTCAAGCACTCTCGTGATTCTCGGGAACACAAGTTCTACACTGAAAAAATAACAGAGAAAAAATCGTTATCGTAAACGTTTTAAAACGCAGAAAACTATTTACTCTTATCATTTTATTTTTTTTATATTTTACCATTCCTTATTATTATATCCTTATGCTTTGAGTTAAAACCGCGAGTTCATACTAATTTTAAGACTATAATGTGCCTTTAACTAAACTTTTAAACAATGTTTAAAATAATAATGTTGCGAATTTTTATATAATTTATGACAATTAAGATATTTATAACAAATTGCCATGTAATAAAATCGTTATAAAATACAAAATATTTTTTTATTTTAACTTTCTATCTGAACTAATAACGATTTTAATAAGTGATAAATTCAATCAAAATGTATTTAATCATATTGGTAACTGTGTCAATATTTGAAAAAAAGGAAGATCTAAATTTATCTATATATTTAGAAACGAACTGGCAAGAAACTCTCTGCCCGTCTATTTAATCGACAAGTTTTGGTGTACAAGAAAATTGTAAGGAACTACAACTATTACGCAAGGCTTCACTTGATATATTGAAATAACGCTAAGCATCAGCGTGAAAAATTTAAATAGATATTATGGTGAGAACAAAACAAAAAGTTGTAGTCGATTACACACAACACAAGCACAACCTGTCATCACAAGTAGCACCCGTTCCCGAGCACGACGCATGGCCATTGGCCAGCCATCGTCCCCCTTCGCACATTTTGCAGGGAAAAGGTCAACCTGTCGCATGGACGCCACCACAAGCAATTACATTTTAGTCTTAATTCACTAAATCTTCAATTAAAATAGCATATTATTAATTTACCTATATAACAAAATGTGAAACAGATTCAAGAATTGGATAGGAATGATTAGGACATCCTCCAAGAATACCATTAGTAAAATATATCTTCACTTCATACCCAGCTTTTCGTGTAAACGGTCAAACACTTAAAAAATAAGTAAACTGTAACCAGTTTGATTGTACTGTCATACAATTATAATAATCGACGCTTACCTTACCAGAGCTACGTTATTAATAATATTTTTAGCGTATATTCTATTTCACATGTCTCTGAGATTTTCATCCACGTTTAAACGTACAGATGTTATTATCACTTTTCTAAGCATTTACCCTCTTAATCATGAAAGTACTATCTATAAATCTATATTGAACATGTTCCTGATCCCTTTGTGTCTAAGTCTGTGATAAAAAAAAGCCCTAACATTCTTTAATTTAGACTTAAAATACGTTTGGCTAAGATATATTATATAAACTTTCTTTACAAGTAATACTTTATTAAACTTATACGTCACTAAAACAAACAAGCGGACAAAAATAAATAACAAAAATTAAAATAAAATTCTTAATGTTGAACAGTAAATAAAAGGTCTGTCTATTACTAAATATTACTGTGTGTTCTCTTGTGGAGGCGAGTTTAATCTTCGTATTCTTTTATATCGACCAAGTTCCTCATTAGCACCGCGTTGTATGGCGCCAATGGCGTCCTGATCTTGGTAATGTAAATCTTTCTTCGATAGTGAATCGCTCATGTTATTCTCGTTAAAAGATTCTGCAGAATCCAGAGATTCCTGTTGCAATTTATTTGCATCAGCATCGTCTGCAATGCGTTTCTTACGTATTTCATTATTATTGTACATCAAATTATCATCAACTCCTTCAACGTTCGAAAGAACGTTATCAGTATCTGAACCAATCTTTGCGGAATCTTTTTCGGGCTTCCGACTTGGTTTAGTATATTGATAGTTCCTATTTGAACGCATATCATAGTAACCGATATTTTTATTGTCCTCCTTTCCGACTTTTTCATAGTTATATGAATTTTCAAAGTTGAATCCATCGTCAAATTCGTCCTTCTCGTTGTCATCGTCATTGGCCGCACCAGGGAAATATGGAACTTTCATATTACCTGGACTACGGTCTTGAGATCTCTTAATATTATTTGTTCTTTTTACACGGATAAGAGGGGCCATTTGAGAATAGGATGATATTGTATTCTCTGCTTCGTTCAATGGAAACGAATCTTCTAGTGATTTAACATCGGCTGTATTGGAATAATCGTCGACACCTCGTTTATAAAGATTGCTATAAGTTTCTTGCAAATCAGATTCATCTTTCATCAATTCCGACCAATTAGCATCTTTATCTGAATCATAGTTTTCATTATTCGAGGGTTCGTTAATCATCTCGGGTTTATCTGGTGTCATTTCTTCAATATTTATTTCCCTTTTATTTTCGTTCTTAGATTTTTCGTTCCCTTTACTGTCTTTGGACAGTGCGACATTATCTTGCATAGATTCTTGATTGTTGTTTAAGTTAATATCATTTAATTCATCTTTACTTTCATTATTAGGTGAAGTATTATCATCAGATTCCGAAGCCTTTGTTTTAGAAATTTCACTACTCTCAGATTGTTTTGTAGTTTCAGTTGTTTCACTTTGAGATAAAGATGAAAGTGAGTCCACAGAACTTCCACTTTCAAGTTTATTTAAATCCGAACGGCTATTTTCCAGATAATTATTTTCCTCGACGGCTCCGGCTTTTTTGGTAATTTCTCTCTTATTCACGTTATCATTCGTAAATTTGTTACTAATTATTTTATTAAGAAGTGCTCTCTTATCGTCCGATAGAGAGTTTAGAAGATCTTCAAGTTCTTCTCTCGAAAGCTTTTTAATGTTTCTTTTAATTGCAGACACACTATCTTCATTGTTATTCTCTACTCCTTTCTTCTCTATATTTTTATCATCATTGAGGTTTTCTTGCTGATTTAGAACAGTTTCCCGTCTATCCCTATTTGAACCGAAAACGCTATTTGGTTTCTTTTTGTGAAACAAATCACCCTGTACTTTATTATAATACGTTATCTGTTTATACAGGGGTTGATCTCGCGGGTCTATGGCTTCGTTATTATAATCGCTCTTATCCTTTATCATGCGACGATCACTTTCCATATTATTATCATTTGAGCTAACGTCTGAATCACCAGATTTATATTCATTATTTTGGTTTCTTTTAAAAGTCTTAAAGCGTGCGTTTGGCGCTGGCTGTGAAAAATCTCCCTCCTCTTCGATTTCGTCGTGTCCTGAATCAGATTTATAGCGACCAGATAATGGCATTTCTTCGGCGTGATCCATATTTTTATTATTATATAGTTTTCTCTCCATTGCCTGGAAATAAGGGAATTGATGGTATTAGGAGTACTTAAAATGAATGTACAGAATCTGTGGCATACTTGGTGCTTTTAAAAATATATATGTGACATAGATAAATTAAAACCCACTATGGAATACATACATTTTCATACTCATTATTTGTCAGAGCCTGTTTGCGATCACCCTCGTCTTGAGTTTCAGATCTTGTTTCTATTTCTTGCGAGTTCTATAATATAACGAAATTGTTAGTACTTATACGGCTTTAAATAGTCTGATATGCAAAACAACATGATTTTTTCCCCGAGCCTTTAGACAAGACAAGCATACCTTATCGTTCTCATTTATATATTCATCAGCAGTGGGCTCTTTTTCTTCATATTCCGCATATACTTCTCTAAAATGAAAAATAGCACAAATATATATATATTATATACAGTACATTACGTTAGAATAGTATTTATTTTTTATTATATATAATTGGTTTGCTTTATTGATAATTACTTTCAATTAGGTGAAATAATTATTGTTGCGCTGGGAATTCAGGAATAAGGTTCCACGGAAGCGGTGCAAAGATAATTGCAGGTGTGAATACAACGTTGTACTATTGTTACCTTTCATTTTCAGCCTGGGATGGCCTACTAGCTCCATTTGCGACTAATCCAAATACAAACAATAGATTTATAAATCGCATCCTGCAAATACGGCAATGACTTGCAAATAAACGAAACGACGTTTGACAATCAACTTTTTAATTTTTAACTGGCCAGATATTTATTGAAGTGTCGAAGCTCGAAACGGAATTGTAAAAAGGTTTTACATTTTAAATTTAAATATATTGTTTAATAAAACTTAAACATAACAATCAAATATACAGTATTTACAATTTTCTTAACCGACATAGTAATAATAAAATTAATTAAAAGAAAATTATAACAAATTTAAAAAGTTAGGTCCCTGTGGCAGTGTGCCTTTAACGCTGGTAGCATTTCCTCGCTGTATTGCGATACTTATTCGTTGAGCGAGGAAAGCACCAGCTCTGGGATCACCGATACTATCTACCAGATGACAACATAAATCTTTGATCAGCGCTTGTGCACTGGAACCCCACGGTCCAAGTCTCCAAAGGGAACAAAATCGAAGTTGGAGGTTATTTAAGCCGTTTATTATTTTTCGCCTACTCTGCGTGATATTTATTAAATAATTTTTAATTTATTAGTTTAAGTTAGTAATGATTTTTAATTTTCAGATAAACCGAGCTTTGTAGAGTTGTAATATTTGGCTATTATTTACGATTAACACTTTATTTTTTACAATAATTGCCAGTCTTGCATGCGCCAGCGATTCGTATCTAAGGGACAAGACCTCCCATTCTTTTTTGAACATAAAAGTATATGAACCATGTTTTAAATAGTATTGTTGAGTCATTTTCTATTTATTTATCCTTGTCTATATTTAATTTTAATATATATAAACAAACATACTCCAACCAGTTGTGTAACTATACCATCTGGGGCCCGTGGCAAATTCCCTATCAGTAAAAATCGTCACGTTGTACTCAGTTTAATTTTAATAAACTTCGAGATAATTAGCGTACTCAATTACACGTTGTATATGTCCCAGTAACGGCCATAGGCCTCCTCTCTTAGGCGAGAGGGAATGGTCTGTAGTCCCCACGCTAGCCCAATGCCTATTGGAGACTTCACATTCATCCATAGAACATATTAATATCTCTTGGGTCGGGGACCCGTGGCATTTTGCCAGCCCTGCCACGCTATTGTTACGCCACTGACTTCAGCGCATTTTATCTCTGGCCAATGTATTGTAACGTAGTAATAGGGAAAATATATATCCTAAATAAGGGAAAAAGGTTTCGCGTTAAAATAATCAAAATGCAGATATACTTACAACAAAATTTATTTTTTAAATGAGACCGTTTCATCTCTATCACACTTAATATGTACATTTGGTTTTAATAAAACAAACCACTGAAACATTTTACTGCAAAATTCCTCAATAAGTTTGTGCATATTTGAGAAAAAACATTTATGTCTTAAATTTAATGTCATATAAAATACACCTAGCCCAGGACTTACGCATGCTATTGCAGTTTTATTAAAAAAAACACACATCGCTTAAAATGGCGAAATTTTGATTTGCACAATTGGAACAATAGTATGCTTCTGTCCCTTTCTGACACATTGTTTACGCTGTTATGAAAAGAGACAAGACTAGTACTACAGCAAACGCGCTGCAATTAAGGGAGTGTTCAAGTATTACGTAACGAATTTTGGGGGTTTGTAAAACGTTACGATGCGGGGCGGGGATTGAATTACGCGTTATTGTTAATATTATTTTAGACTTTCCAACACATAATAGTAACTTTTAGGTATAAAGGGTCATTAGGTGGTCACGAAACGTTTTACTATACTTGGGTACAGAAAAACGTTACGGCGCGTTACATGGGGGAGGGGGGTGTCAATAATCTCCAAAAATTTACAAATACTTGAACGCTCCCTAAACTGATTTCGTTTTTATAAAGAATTTAGGAATTAAAGTATCAAAAATTTAAGAAATCGGTAAAAATCTATCCATAACTCGCATCGCTTATATACTATTGATCCATTTCTTAACCAATCACAAATGAGCGACCGAGTATACCGGCAATTCGATCCGTTACCATGGTAACAAAACTGCAATAGCATTAGGCCCCATCCTCAATTTGGTGTTTGCGTTAAAGCACATCACTTACATACTTATTTCGAAAGGTGAAGACGAGAAACGATGTGAAGAAAAATGTTTTCCACGCGCAGATCGTATTTTTGTATGGCGTAAAAAAGTAAGTCTTGTTGATGTCACAACCTTGTTATAAAAGGTAGAGAAACCAATATTACCAACGTATTCAGTACTCAATAAAAAAAATATACGTTTATTCCGTTCCGGAGGCCTTGTTCTCAGAAGAACGGGCAAGAAACTTAGCAAGTTTTACCCTTCAACCCTCCCTCTACATTACAATTATTCATAGGAAAATGTCATAAACATCTCAAAACTCTCTAAACCAGCGTTTGCCAACCATTTTTGTTTTCTGCCCCATCTTAGCGTTTCGAAAATTCTTATGCAACATACATAATTTTTAATATTAAAAAATTGAATTGTTCATTTAAGAAAGAAGTTCACTACAGTAAGTAAATTTTCAAAACAAATAATTTTAATAAATTTTCGAATCAAGCCCCCCTTAGCAATCAAATTGCCCCCCTGACTGCCTGCTCGCCACTGTGGGGCGTGGGCCCCACGTTGGGAAACTCTTCTCTAAAATATAGATTCAGAGCTACTTATCAATATGACTCCCGGCCTATTAGAACGGCTAAATAGGAGGCTCATCTGAATCTAAGTGAAACCGGAGCCAGTGTGTAACCGGCCTTCGAAGCATTGGCAACGTCAAACACGTATTTGCTTTTGACATAAGAGAGCGTATGTGTCATCTAAGTCTCAATTTAGAGACAGACCAGTAACAAAAGATAGCTCAAATCACAATTTCCAGCATGTCAAGTTTGTCAAAGTTAAAATGGAAAACATTATTTGACAGCTCAGAACCTAGATTGAACAACGTTCTAGAATAATGATTTCCGCATATCAAATTCCAGTACGATTCCGAATTACCCTTGAGACTGGTCTGATCATTCGTTGAAGTCGTTAATAAATCTATTGGTTTCCCTCTCTTAATACTTTTGAATCTAAGTCCGATACAAACGCTGTGGAAGGCATTTTCCAACAATTTAAAATATATAATCTTAAATAATTCTTGTTTTAACATAACATTTCATATATCTTTCGTAGGGTAATAAAGCCGATTAGGCATTAATTGTGCTTTTCCTTTATCACATTAAAACAAGCATCTGTCATACAGTTTTATCACCTTTGAGGAAATTTAAATTTTTAATATGTCAACACTGTAAAATTAATTGAACTAAGTTTATAAATTTTGAATAATTAACCATCTTTGGATATTCGTTAAATATATAATAAATTTTACATATCACCAATGCCGGGCTTGTTTAACGATGTATTCTAACATATGTACGTCTCTACGTACGTATACGCGTACGTGTTCGACAGTACGTACGTATACGCGTATGTAAATACGTACTTGTAAAGTATACAAACCAGGCAAAGTAACAAGATAAACAGAAAATCAACATCGGTAGGATAACGGGCAAATATTATGTCAAATTGAAACCCTTAAGTCATAATGACTAGACTCTTAACGTAGAATGAGCATTGAAACAATACATACATCTATTTTGGGACACTGTAAGCGCAAATGTATATGAAATTACAACCAGTGTAAAGAAATTGTTAGGTACAGCCGTACTCAGAATCTTTGACAAGTTAATTATTATTAATTCTGAAGATAAAAATAAAATTCCCTTGGCTTAGTCTATAACATTCACTGTTCATTAAATGAATAATTATTGATTTGCCTTTAGAGGTTTCAATCCACAACTCTGAGTGCGACCGTAAATCTAAATATTTTAATAAGACGCCCGGGTTTTATATTGAAATTACCAGTAGTAAATTCTACTGATTAGCAAAATCTAGTGATGTTATACCCGAACGTCATATGTACATAAAATTTCTTTATGTGTGTGTTTGATAAATGTTTGCGAGCAAACTCTGGTAACTTTTCGTATTTAGAGGTTATCTTATCAGCAAAAAACAGAAGTCTTAAATTCGACATTTTTGTAAGGGATTCCTGATACCAAGAATTATTGGAAATTAACCTGTTTTCTTTGAGAAGGAGAATCTCAGTAAAGTATATGTAAAATCGTAGTGACGTCACAATTATATATAGTATGTCACCGTGAAATTGTGATGTTGCTTATTTTGTTTACAGTTAGACGTTATTAAACGAGATTTGACGGATTATCTAAGGAAAAAGCTAAATTTTTGACACTAGCGTCACAGATTATAATGACATTTAAAATCTGACGGTGACAAACGAAAATCACATGCACAATGTCCCACATTCCTGAAATTCCGTCACTAGTCTATGTACTATATATTTGTAAATTGGCCAAATACCGATTCGTAAAATTGACCTCAAAGTTCCACACACAGATATGTTTGCGACAAAAGCTTATCTCAATATTTACATGAAAATATACAAGACGAAGCATCTCTTGCGAATTGGGAAAAATACTCGTTTGAGCAACGGCTTAACGATGAAAGATATAAAAAGTACAAATGACAGCTTAAATGCAATTTCGTAGAACATCTTCAATATTTACACGAAATGATATTCGAGTACACGTCTACCAAGTACCTAACCCATTAAAATACTTGCACCCTAAAATGAAATATACGCGCACGCGTACACGTACGTACGTATGCGTACATGTACGTACATACGCGTATTGATAAAACGTTCGGAACAGATCCAAAATCAAATGTAATTAAACTACTACATATATTTTTTATAAATGTAATTCAACCTTTAAGTAAAATAGTATATGTTATAGATAACAGAGAGGTCTAACTTAATAAACTTGATTTCCGTATGGTCATTTCCCTGTACTGCTCTCAAATTGACTAGATGAGAACCTGTTCCGTCAGTACTAACGATAGGGAATGTGTGATGAGTACCGGCGTCATACCACAATCCGTCTACGCCCGGGTATTCGTAATTGCTACGAACCGTTTCCGACAGTAGCAATTATGAATTAAACCAGAGCAGGCAATCCTAACACATATTGAAACTATACAAATTGTCATGAAAAAAAAAATGAAAAAAGACAGTAATTCCCATCGTAATTGCACTTGATTGAAAATGTTAAATGCATCGAACGATGTAAATGCTAAGAATGAAGAATCGTCAGCCACAATTTTCTAAATTTAATAAAAACCATTTCGACGACACCAAAATAGCGATTACTTATAACATGCGGTCGATCCGGTCCATTCTGAACTCGTGTTCCACGGAAGAGTCAGGTAGTAAAGCACTAGGTTCCTCCAACAGGGTCAGGTCGTCCAGGTCCAGGCCCGCCCGGAGCTGGGCTTCCTCGCCGCCGAATATGCTCGCGTCTAGTTCACCCGAGTAATCTGAAAGTTATTTATAAAAATACATACATTATCCTTACAGTACTAAGGCAATACGATAATGTGAAAAAATATTAAATTAAAAATATATATATTATTAAATACATAAGATACACAATACACAATTATTGAGTAAAATAATTTGTAAATATTAATAAATTTATCAAAAATTCCATAAGTAAGCATATTGGTTTATTTTAATTCAGTCACGTGTTACAAAACGGTCACAGATTAGTCGAATCAACGATGAGATAGCATTCCTGTGAATAATGTCTTCGCCTGTCTAATCCTAATTTCTTGGTGTTTGATTTCGTCAGACTGATTTTGATCGAAATGTATTTGTGTAATTTAAGGCTGATAATTAACACGTGTTTACGGCATGATACGTCAAAGGGACTAGTGTGACGCCATCTTGCTTAGAAAAGCGTTTTAGCGGATTCTTGAAATTATGAATGCTATTTGAATTTTCAAAGCCAATACCTTAGAGAATTAAAAAATACGATTTGTTTAGGTTCCATAGCCACTCAAAATTTTGGATTTAAAAATCCGGTGAAGTATTGTAGAGACTGTGTTTGCGAACACGTGTGGCAGTATATCGACAAAGAACGCCATATTTTAATTGATTTTATTTATCTTATTATCTCCACCAAAAATACGAAACGCGAATTATTAACTCACCCGTGAGTATGATGTCGGGGATGGAGGCGGGCGTGGCAGGCGTGGCGGGGGTGGCAGGCGAGGGTGAGGCGAGAGGGAAGCCCCCGGCCACGGGGTCCCGCGCCCGGCCCTCGCCCGACGACGGGTACGTGTGCGTCTGCGTATGGATTCCCGGTGACGTCGACGACTGCGTATTATAATAATAATATTTATTTATTAGTAATCTTACAGCTGACATACATATTATAAAACAAAACACTTAGACAAAATAGAAAGCCAAAACAGATTACATAGATAAACAATTTAGATATATGAAACAGAAAACATATTATGTAAGTACTATTTATAAAAAAAAATATTAAAGAAAACTGAAATTTAACATTAAGCAAAATCTAAATGATTCAACGAAAAAAGGAAAAAAATTGAGTGTTACTGCTTAAACAAAATCAAAGTCTTCCCGCCTATTCAAATGTCATAGATTAAACCCGAAACATTGGCAAATTACGCAGGTAATTCGAGTTCGTACGAGGAACAATTGTTCTTGTCGCATACGGGGGAGGGATTCTAAAAATACGTTGGTAAAACCTGACCAATAAAATAAAAATCCTCGCCATATTGAAAACTACTGATATTTTTTTTCAAATGGCAACGTTTTAGATTGTCACTGTCTGTGTTTATAAGTGCGTTCAAATGTCAAAACTATAAAAATCCAGGTAAGAAAAATTATTTACAAATTGACGTATTTGCCTGAAAGCCTGAAATAATGGAATCCGAATAAAAAACCTATTGGTTGGTTCCTTTTGAAAAACGTTACGATACGGGGCGGGGATTGAATTACGCGTTATTGATATTATTTTCGACTTTCCAGTACTTTACACCACATAATGGTAACTTTTAGTTATAAAGAGTCACTAAGTGATCACGAAACGTTTTACTATACTTCGGTACAGAAAAACGTTACGGCGCGTAACATGGGGGGGGTCCCAATGATGTCCAAAAATTGCGTGACGTAATATTTGAACGCTCCCTTTGCTTGAAAGACCCTTAGTCAAGTTGGTTCGGAAATACTTCAGTGGGCAGCTGGTTCCACATAGTAGTGAGTGACAAAAACTCTCAGTTGTGGAACAACGGACGTCGGGTGGAATTCCATATTGTGCCTCGATGTCCGATATTTGTAAATATGTGAGGAACATGTATACTAACTTTTTTTAGTATAGTAGTTTTATTCTAAGAGTACATTGTCTTCACATATAATTATTTACCTAATGTAAACAAAATATTGTAAACCTATTTTAAAAAAGTAAGTGTGGAGTTTCTTGCCCATTCTTCTCCACACGAAACCTTTTGGAAGGGGCAACTAGAATCTTCTTTATATTTTGATTGACGTTCAAAGGTGCCATTCTAGGTGGTCTAATTGAAATAAATGGTTTGACTTTGATAGTGAAACTGATATTGCAAAGAGAATCTATCTTTCTCTACTCACCCTTGAATATGTGTGTTGCGTATTCGTTGTCTGAGGTGAGTGAGGTGAGCTGTGATTAATATACGTCGTGTTGTAACTCGACGTCGGTGGATCCAGCTGGAAAATAGAAATTATTCTAAAACACACACACTAAAATATAACACACATATAAAGGCCTGTAAAACATTAACAAAAAACCCTTCGGTACGTTCACTGACCGTACCATGAACTAATATTTAATAATTAAATTATTATTTTATTTCAGACAAGGCTTTGGTACTTCGATTTGTGACTTAATAATTATTGCTTAGAGCTCGTGAGGTAAGTTTATATTACTTTACGAAACTTTCCTGTGCGTTTGAAATTCTATTCGCTCTTAATACCGACACAGATTAACACAGTTACCACAGACTGTAATTGGTTTTAGTTTAAAAGTCAGTGAACATACCATTGACCCACGTGTGATGCCAGCAATGTTCAAACAAGGGTCAAAAGGTACCATAGACAAAGCTGTGATATTCATAATGCATGCTTGTGCAAATGACATGTGTCTATAAACACAATTTATAACATAAACTATTAAATATTTTTATCACTTAAGAAAGGAAAATAATTCTAAATACAATCAACATTTAGTAGAAGCTTCAAATAGATCTGCTTATTGCTACACATGCTTGAATTAAAATATGTAAAAACCTATATGAAACTGGGCTATAGATAGTCTTTGTATATACATTTTTATCTATGGCCCCGCTTGTTGGAAGAATTCATTCCTTTATCTACGTAAGAATTTGTGGTCTATAGAAGAAACAGTGAAACGTACGTCTTTATGTACGCTTAAAGGGATCGTGAACGAATAGGTCGTTTTTATTAGAAATTCGATTACGTTACAATTTTATATATTTTGGTCACTTTGAAATGTATATTTAAATTTACTATGGAAATTCAGTAAACCCCTCTATGCCACTTTATATAACAAGTTATTACACTGTTTTATAAGTACTCATTTATCTATCTGAAAATGTGTTTTAGCGGCATAAACAGAAGATGAACGAGAAAGATGTGTATGCAATATTTTTGCGAGTACTGTGTAATTTTTTTTATAGAACAAGGGGCAAACGGGCAGAAGGCTCACCTGATGGTAAGTGATACCGCCGCCCATGGACACTTTCCATGCCAGAGGGCTCGCGAGTGCGTTGCCGGCCTTTTTTTTTGAAGGACTCTAAGACGAATTGGTTCGGAAATACTTCAGTGGGCAGCTGTTTCCACAAAGTGGTGGTGTATGTATTCTATTATCTGTCTTATCTATTAGTAGATGCTGTGATACATGATACAGAGTCACATTCGCGAACTCGAACTGTCAATCCAAGATAGAAATAAGCTTGAAAAGCGAAAGTTATTTCTCTTCTAAAATTCGTTCAAGATCCGATATATATATAGAAAAAAACTATAATGTAATATTGTGTGTGTGTGTCGTACGTTTTCCGCGACTTGAACGTGCGCGGTCCAGCCCGACTCCACGAGACTCTGCACCAACTGCGCCCAGTCCTTGGCCAACGTTACACCAATGTTACACATTTACTTTGCCACATATAACTACTACGTTACTATTTGTTTACATCGGATTAAAACGGCATGAACTTTTATGATCACGTGAATGAATTTTTTTGCGTTTTTTTCTGGCTTAGTTAGTTTTTATTGCTGCATTTGGTAAATATTTATAATTCACTTATTTGTCTAAAAAATGTATAGAAGATAAACTTTAGTTTACTAACTATTCCACTCGAGACATTGCTTGCTCTACACAATTAATTTATATCTAGTAATTATAATTTAATTTATATATTTATAATTCTAGAGATGATTCCTAAAGATTCTAGGAATCTAGATACGAAAGATTATATTTATTTACCCTCAAAAGTATTTGTATAGCAATACCGTGGCAATGTACATTAAATATGTTCATGTACAATATATGTTTTTCGCATGATTACACCATTCCTTTAATATTATTTTTATGCCAGTCCAAAACAACCTGCAACCTTTCTGTCGACATTTTTATCATCCTTAATTTTCTAGAAAAGGATTAGATTATACTTTATACCAGTACTTAAAAATAATATTATAAAAAAAATTAAGATTCTTTGTAGGTTCTAAAAAATACAGGGGGAGGTAGGGGTTAATAAATGATAAACAATATCACGTGATTAATGGACAGCCCCTAATTCCAAAACAGTAACGAATCTATCAAATTGTTAGACTTAAAAAAATCCATGTATATGTTAACGTAAAATTGTAAAAACCGTTAGATTGTAATCTATCTCGCGAGATTATAAACTGTCGAAAGATTGTGAACCTCAGCACTGCTCACAATTTAACGTATTATTATTCGGTAGATTGTAATCTATCGAAGTGAAACCGTCAAATTGTGAAACGGCCATTTTTTAATTTCTATTTAAATTTTTTTTGGAGAAACTTATGCTTACATTAACTGTCACACATTTTAGAAGTAAGATTCTGTAAAATAATTAGTAGATTTAGGACTGTGTGTGATGTCGTAAGCTTTATAACTAAATAAATAAATAAATACATTTGACAAGAAATGGTTAAAGTAGGTTCAACTTTAAGATTAATTTACCGAGAATGTCACATCACTTATAACCAATAGAAAACGAGAATGTCACATCTCTTATAACCAATAGAAAAGTAGAAAATGGCGGTTTCACAATTTGACGGTTTCACTTCGATAGATTACAATCTACCGAATAATAATACGTTAAATTGTAAGCAGTTCGTTGAGGTTCACAATATTTCGACAGTTTACAATCTCGCGAGATAGATTACAATCTAACGGTGTTTACAATTTTACGGTGACATATATAACCCGCAAATTTCTACTACGAAAACAGTGTACCAAATATAATAGTAATTATTATCTTAAACAAATAATAACGTAGTTCAGCAGATTATCACAAGGCAAGTAAAACATATGTTTTATTTACCCAAAAATCGTTTTAATGTGCTTACATTGTGCGATTCTATTTAGTGTTTCGATCTCGGCTGTGAGAAAATCACTATTATTTATTTCTATCAATTATAAGCATCGTTTAATTAACTAAAGTACTCACAACTCCTTGCTATTCCATTGAAGCATTGAAATTTTAGTCAAATATTATGATAATTTTGATGTACGATTTTTTTTTATTTGACGAATTTTAAATGACTTTTAGAATGGAGTACATCATAATTATCATAGACTAAAGAGGATATATAGACATTTTTGTTTAATTATCAATATATGTGTGATGGAAACATTTTTTTTTTTTTGGTATTTCCTTATATTATTCAGTTGTACTGTGCCGAAGGTGAATTTTGACTTCAAAAACGAAATTAATTTTTTAATAATTATTATACTACGTAATTTTTGTTTGTCTCACTAAAAGCACAAGAAACACGCATTTTTGAAGTGAAACTTAGGCGCATGAGGGTAAAATTTTTACGGAACGTCACGAAGATGTGCAGCGTTTTTGTCGAAGAAATGGGAGAGAGCGAGAGACCGATTGGGAGAGAGCGAGAAGAGTGAATTTACCTTAAAGAAATTCTATTTTTAAAATTAAAATTTCGTAAAGAGAATTTATGAAATATTAGTATTTTATATTTTATGCAAAATAATTTATTGAAATCTCAAATGACGAATTGTATAGTGTAATTAAAATGCCACGACGTGTTTTTATTATCGAAGAAATAAATTAAAAATTTAAATTTATAATTTGTATTAATTTTCGACATTTTTAATATTTTAATGACAATTAAATTCATTAAATTCCTAACATATCTTCCTTTTTTCCAACTAACTCGGAAATCTAAAGTTTCAGATTTGTATAAATATGAACAAGACTTAAAAATTAGTTTGCCAAAGAAGTTTCACTTCTGACATGACTGTACTTTGTACGCACGCACATTTTTATATTAAATATGGGTTAATTTTCAGCTTCAATCAATGAACATATACACACACTACTATTTAAATTACAATACCCAAGCATTTTTGATACATTTATTTTGCTATTTAAGATTTTTAGTACTTACTTTTTTCAGTGCCCATTATTAAGCACTTTTTGATACTTTTTTAATGATACGTGTTTATTAAAAACATATTTAAATTAAGATTTTTGTATGTAATCCTGTTTATATTGTTTTTAGAACTGCCCATGGACAATGCCAGCTAGCGAGTGCGTTGCCGGACTTTTAAGAATTGGTACGGTTTTGAGGGACACCAAGTCAATTACTGATAGTGATATTCGTCATATAAAAATATTTAAATTCAAGTATTAGTGCAATTTATTTACATTTTGGTTTTGTATGAATGGTAACCACGGCAACAGACGATACTATGTTTAGTCCACGTCCAATACGGCCGAAATCCTTGGGAAGATTAGTGTCAAAACATTCAGAAACGATACTCAGCGCTCTTTTTTTTAATGAACAGGGGGGCAAGCGTACAGGAGGCTCACCTGATCTTAAGTGATACCGCCGCCCATGGACACTCTCAATGCCAGAGGGCTCGCGAGTGCGTTGCCGGCCTTTTATGAATTTGTACGCTCTTTTCTTGAAGGACCCTAAGTAAACCCTAAGTTTTTTACGTCTGGCTTCCGTACGTAAAAATTTATTGGCTTTTGACATATAGGAATGATCTTTGTGACCTTTCTGAATCCCACCCTTGAATCATAATTATTGTCGTGTTGTATATAGTGAAATAACAGACACACGTGCGCACACGCATCCGAGATAGAATGCTGCTATGTTAGGCTGTACATGGATATTAGTTTTGTTAATTAAAGTACAGTGTATACTCTTTATAACATTCGTACTCTATACTCTATAACGTAAAATGGTTACATTTGTTTTGTTTAATAAAAACCCATACATTAATACGTTCTTTATAACGCAATACATATTCTCAATAACAAAGAAATATTTTCATATTTAGACATCAACATACTTAAGTGTAATTGTTTTTATAATCAGCTTATAAAACTATTTGAGGTGCCGAAATTTAGATAGTAATAAAATTGGAAATTAATTGGTCAAATTTGTTTTGTTTTCTCTTCCCTCCCTATAACGAAATGTCTCTATAGCGAAAAAAAAGTGCTCGGTCCTTTGAATTTCGTTATAAAGAGTTTACACTGTTATTGTATGATGGCAAACGAAGGTAAATAAATTCCCAATCCCCGTTAACTTATTAGTTGGTAAAGTAGTTTAATTTAACTAGATTTTAATTACAAAATACACCAAGGTTTTCTTTAATATTGTTCCAAATATGGCCACAGAGCGCTGCTCAAGTTAAATTACTATTTTATTACGTTAACTATACGAATTAACGTATTCGTTAAAAGAGTAATTAGAGTATTATTATTGCATTTATAGAGATATAAAAATATATTTAGAACTTTCTTTTGAAAGTCGGTTAAACAAAATATCTCACCATCGTGATTTGCTCGAAGGGTTGTAATAGCACTTGGTGGAGGTTGCTGTAGTCTGTCTGCGGTGACTCTACCGGACTACCGGGACTGTGGACCATCTGAAAAAACCCACGAAAAATTATTACTAATTTTAGTTTTATGTAAAGAAACTCAATTTTTTAGGTCACAGAGTGGTTGGAGCAGTGTGCGCAGTGGTCAGCTATCATAATCTTTGTGATAGGTGATAAACCTTGCTCTGCCTTGTGTTATAAAAAAAACAAAACGTGTGGCACTTGGGGACTGTCGCGGTAAAGCTATGGCATAGCATTTTTTATCAACTTATGCAATTATAATTTCTTTTTCTTTGATATTAATTCAATCTACCACTCTACCACACTCAGACTAACACGCAATGAACCAAAAAATTATGTTAATTAGCCCCTTAAATCTATATAGGTAGGTTGCCAGCGTTTAAAAAGCCCGTAAAACCTTGTTTAACGTGCACGTACACGGACGTGTACGTAACCATGGCAACACACAACGTCTAATACGACCGAATTATAGTACTATATGTAAGATACATGTCAAATCCTATATATATACGCGAAATAGTTTTGCTAAAATTGTTTAGAAGGCAACTATGAAAGAATATGCTACAAATGTATGACTTAACGTATTAAACTAACCGTTGGTGAAGGGATATTCGATGTCGAAGAATATTGTGAAGGCGGACTGCAGTGTGGCTGATAGCTCGATGCGAGCCAGCTGTGATCCAAAGGAGACATGTTCTGAAATATATACATTTATATATTAACAATCAATTTTATATTTATAAATTTGCGTTCCCCGTGACACCCGTATAGTAAGTTTCTGAAGATTTTTAAAGTTATAAAAAAAAAATGGTCGTCTGTAAAGTCAGGTTACGGACGATAGTTTAACGTGACAACGTCATAACAAAACATCGATGAAATTATTGCATACACATGAATTATTATATATGGATACAAAGGAGTGAATCCTCGGACGCATATACCAATAGAGTGGAAGAGAGATAGATGCGGCAGCGTACCATGAGCGTAACGGGACAACGAGTCATGCTTTTTCGTGCGTGCAGTCGGCGTTCATCGATATATTAGACGTTGTCACGTCAAAAAATAATTAAATTAATAAAATGCAGTTTAAGCGTTAAGATTTAAGTTTACTCCAATCCCAAATGAACCATCAAAACTGTTTTTTTTTTAATTAATCGCTTAGGGGAGCGTTCAAGTATTACGAATTTTGGGAGGTCCTTTTGTAAAACGTTACGATGCGGGTGATTACGGGGCGGGGACTTTCCAGTACTTTACATCACATAACGGTAACTTTTAGATACACCACATAACGAGTCACTAGGTCACGAAACGTTTTACTACAGAAAAACGTTACGGCGCGTTACATGGGGGGTGTCAAAATTCTCCAAAAATTGCGTGACGTAATACTTGAACACTTCCTAATTTGAACGGAATACCCTTGTCACTGTTTCAATCGCACGATTCAATTGAGCTACCACACGTTTGCTAGAAATACAGTGTCTGATTCCTACTAGTTAACACTAGTAAACAACTTTGCATTTGTTTATATTGTTCTTAAATATTAACAGAAATCATTGGTCTGTATTTATATTTTTATATGTTTTTCAAATACTAAACCAATCTACTAGAAAACTACTAAAAAATTGAAAAACTCCACTGAAACAAATTATTTTATTTGGAAAATAATGAAAGAAGCCTCCAATCTTATGTTGCCCGGAGGCTTTCAGACATTTAAATCTTCTATTAGTCAGACTTAGCACTAAGTCTCGTTTTTGATTCATACCCTTGGTCTTACGGTTACTATAGTAACTGGTAATCGGATCAAAACTATTAAATTTATACTAGTAATTTTTTCAATATATTTTTATAAAACCCTACATTGTTAATTACTAGAGATAATATTAAATTGGGAATATTTCAGCTAAAGCATGTCTAAAATACATTAAAAATTATATGAATCAGCCCCTTTAATCCGGTGGCTTTTTAAGCGTTAAATTGGCAAAGCGTTTAAAAGGACCATATAAAACCATGTTTAACGACCACGTGCACGGACGTGTACGTACGTGCCATCATGCAATACAAAAATATGTCTAAATATGAAATTTTGTCGAGATGTTAGAGAAAAAATCGCCGGAACTCTAGTCTAATTTAATATTTTAAAAGGAATCTGAATAAGGGAGCGTTCAAGTATTACGTAACACAATTTTTGGAGATTATTGACCCCCCATGTATCTCGCCGTAACGTTTTTCAATACCCTAGTACAGTACTGCTCTTTAGTTACTATTATGTGGTGTAAGTCGAAAATAATATTAACAATAACGCGTAATTCAATCCCCGCCCCGCATCGTAACGTTTTACAAAAGGAAAAAAAACGCGTTACGTAATACTCGATCGCTCCCTAAATTTGAGTATATATATATACAGACGCGACATACAGCTCAATATAGTCTTGGCTTAATTTAAACTGTTATGTATGATTTAAACACGCTGTATAAGCACTGCTGTTCTTTCCAACACTCGCCTCATTGACGACGAACTTATGAAATAGTGTAAACTCCAGAAACTAAGTTACCTAAAGTTAAAATAACTTTATTTCTCATACAAAAAATTTATTTTATTTATAAGAGAAACTTAATATATACGAACGGGATACACGTCGCCATCAGCCGTCCCAATTTAGTTCTGATAAGTATCTTTAATGCCCTAGCATTATATTTGCTAAATTTTCTATATATAGATTGTGTATGTTAGTAAAAACACCCCGAAATATATAAGTTAATATTGGAACAAGCCGAGAATCTCAAAGATTTTCAAAGTAATTAGTTAATACATGCAAATATGTTAATCAAAAGCAAAAGCATTATTCAAAACGTTTCAAAAGAAAACGAACCTTACTATGATGGAGATAATTATTTGTGTTTGGTACAGATAAGTGATTCTGAAATAAACAAAACAATATGACACGAAAGCAAAACGATACAACAAAATCCCTTTCATAAAAAATAAATCAAAGACCTCTTCCATCTCTTTTACACCACAGCGTATACGATTCGCCAGAAAGAGACGAAAGATCATTGCAGTTCAATGCAATTAATGATTTAGTTTTTTATGAAGGTTAAACTACAAAAAGCGATCTACAACATTTCTAGAACAGACCAGTAACTGTATTTTTTGCACCATTTTTAGTACTAAACCTATAAGAGATTCAATTTGAAATTTCGCTGAACCGATTTTGATGTTTTTAACATAGGTTACCCAATTACGCAGATTAAGGCAATTAATTCCTTGAAAAAAAAAAGGATTAAAATCCCTAAAGGATCGCTTTTGCATCTACTGTCTACACACAAGACACATGACATTACATTGTGCCGATGCGCCTACACATATGTCCATAGCCAAACAAGCCCTGATACCTAGTGTATCCCTATGGTAACTACAAGTTCTATAAACCATAGACTAAATAACACAAAACTATTAAAGGCTTTATTTATATTTTAATATTATTAACAATCGCTGAGGTAATTTTCATTAAAGAAATTGCATAGTCTTTAATCTCTAAAATTGTTTCGATGCGTACGTATACGTGTGCGTATTTAAGCGTATACGTACTTGCGTGTCGTATAACGAGTGGTCCGGTGGGTGCATATTAGAGAGGGGCACTGTGGCCCCCACGGGGGGAGCCCGAGGCGGGCGAGAGGCCCCCCGTGGCGGGAGAGATGCTACCCCCGCCAGGGGACACCGCTCCAGGAGAACTGGGGCTCTGGAACCGTAGAAATCAGAATAATGGAAACGCGTGCGTGCCCACTTTGCAGCAATTCAAATTTAAGTGAATTGTTTCTGATTAATTAAGAAATAGCGTTGCACCATATTTAAGTGACAATACACATACAGACAAATAACACTTGAACATTATTTAAACAAAGAAAAATTAATGACAATTACAGATAATTATGCATTTTTATACAGAAATTAACATTATGAAATACTAACCGCACTGTGGTGGTAGTCGGGCGAGGTGCGCAGCGGCAGGTAGTGCGGCGGAGGGAAGTGCACGGAGGTGAGGTCGGGCAGCGAGCCCCCCCGGCACCTGCAGCTCGCCGCACCCTAAGCCCCCGCCCCCAACGCCTCCACCTCCGCCCCCACCGTCCCCGCCGCTCTCGTACACGCTGATTCATATTATAATCAACGTATGAGTGTATTTTCCGATTACAACAATTGATTATTAAATTAAAAAAGTGCGTGCGTACAAAGTACACATGTCAGAAGTGAAACTTCTTGGCAAAGTAATTTTTAACTCTTGTTCATATTTATACAAATCTAAAACTTTAGATTTCCGAGACTTAGAGGGAAAAGGAAGATATGTTAGGAATTCAATGAATTTAAATGTCATTAAAATATTTAAAGTGTCGAAAATTAATACAAATTATAAATTGAATTTTTTAAATCTATTAGATAATAAAAACACGTGGCATTTTAATTACACTATACAATTCATCATTTGAGATTTCAATAAATTATTTTGCAAAAAATATAAAAATTTCGTAAAGAGAATATCTATAAGGTAATTCACCCTTCTCACTTTATCTCAATCGGTCTCTCCCTTTTTCTTCGACAAAAAATCTGCACATCTTCGTGACGTTCCGTAAACATTTTACCCTCATGCGCCTAAGGAAGTTTCACTTCAAAAATATTTGGTGCATTGAAGGATAGATAAACACCTCGCCAATAGCAGAGTATAAATAAAAAATGAATGCGTGTATTACGTAACGCAATTTTTTGAGGTTTTTGTAAGGTTTTTTTGTAGTGTCCCCTCTCCCCCAAATCAAACGTTACGTGACCGCCAAGTCACCATTTTTAAAGTCTAAATTTTAATGTGGTGTAATAAAGTACTTAACGCGTAGTTCAAACCCCTGTACAGTATCGCATCATAACATTCACTAAAACCATTATTAAAAATAACATCCATCGTATTGACAAGAAATAACCTTATTGCTATAAAGTACTCATCTCTCTTTTCACCACAGCGTAAACACAAGACGATAGAAAGAGACAAAAGACATTTGCTTTATTAGGAACTAACTAACTAGGAAATATTCTCACTTGTTATTATTTGGTATCCGTGGGATTTCACACGACGATCTCGGACGATTCGAGGGACTCATGCCAAACGTTGCTAGAACATCTAAATGGATATTTGCAGCTGGAAAAGAAAAATAAATATTTAAATCGCTAAAATTGTACAATATTTAAGCGCTGAATTTGATGAATTTTGATGATAGTGTACTGTAAGGTCCTATGAGAGACTGAAATCTGTGCTGCTCTATGGGTGTGAAACGTGGAAAGTAACCAAAGACATCTCACACCGACTCCAAGTCTTCGTCAACCACTGTCTTAGCCGTATTCTGGGCATCTACTGGCCCGAAAAGATCTCTAACGAAAAACTTTGGGAGCGCTGCCGAGAAACCCCGATAAGCCAGCAGATCAAGCGACGTAAATGGAAATGGATAGACCATACACTGCGAAGGGATCCCAATCATATTGCCAACAGGCGCTTGATTGGAACCCGCAAGGAAAGCCTAAGCGAGGCCGTCCCAGGAAAACTTGGCGCCGTACAGTTGCAGATAAGGCAAGGCAAGGAAGAGTCGGAAAGACTTGGAGCCAGGTGGGAGGCGATGGAGACTCACTGTGGACTCCCTCTGTTCCATGTAGGGGTTATAGGGCATTAAGTCAAACTTCAGTTTCCAATTCACAGAAATTCATAGAAGATTATATTATTCTAGCGAATATAAACCGCTGAATTGGATGAATTTGAATAGTTCTGTACAGTAACATACAAGGTTGGGTTAGAGATATCTATAAAAATTCAGTAAAAAAGAAATAATCGTTTTGCCAGTCCATTTCTGCACATATTGAAGCATTGAATGTTGTATGTAAATACAACAACTGATTATGATAGTACTACAAACCAATTATGAAATATTACAATGAAATGTTCAATAATTATTTCGTAGAACATTTGCAACTTTTTCTAAGATAAAAGATAACATGTGATCGTGTGTTATTTGAAAACAGACACTTAGCCTAAGAGATAAGGTATTATTTAAATCGACGTAAATTATCCAAAGAATTTTCCTGTATATAAATGTTATTTGTATTATACATTTAGTTGTCATTAGTTAGTATTAATATATATAATTAAAAACAACAGGTTTCTTTTGTTTTTCTAACGCACGCGAGTCTTGCGAGTCCTCTGGGAACGTGAGTGTCCATGGGCATTATCACGTAACATCAGATGTTTAGAAACAAATCTTTAAAACCCGAAGAAGGATACTTCTTCGGGTTTTTAAGGTCGTATTTGCCGTAATGACTTCAGCGTGTGTCTCTCATTCCTGAGGACGAAGGCAAGATCCCCGGCTCCAATGGACTTTCATTCTATGTTCATTTAACATACACTCGAACGGTAAAGGAAAACATCGTGAGGAAACTGGCTTGCCTTAGACACGAAAAGTCGACGGCGTGTGTCGGGCACTGGAGGCTGATCACTGCCCTATTAGATTGATCATGAAACAGATACAGAAATCTGAGGCGCAGACCTAAAAAGGTTGTAGCGCCACTAATTTCATAAACCGCGAATACAATTATTACATACAACTTAAATAACATACAGTAAGAAAGACTTGGGTAAAATTGAGAGTCGAGACTTCGTCGCTAAGACGTCAAAATCGTACTGAATTTCAAGCATCTGAATCTGTGGACTAACCTCGTCTATGATTCTGGTGAGGCATATGCGGGTGCGCATGGGAATGCAAGGGGTGGTGGGGTGAGAGTGGCGGCACGGTGGATTGCTGCTCACCACACGATTGGTGCAGTGCCGAGTCACTGTTCGTTCTGCGCCAGTTGCTGTCTGGTGGTGGACTGGAAATGTATAATAGTACTTTTGAGCAGGGTTTCGTTAAGCAGGTTCACACGATAACCTATGATCATGGCTGCTGTAGCCCTCAAAATGTAAATAATGTAAAAAGTTGTGTTAATTGCTGTCAAAGAACTATATTACTATATTTTTATTGTTATTTTTTAACTTTTAGTTTAGTTATTATTAATTTTTAGTTATTATTATTATTTTTTTGTTTAATTTTTTTGTATTTTGTGGTTGTTTGTTTAGTTTTTTTTCTTTAATATATTGCTTATGTTCTAATGTAATTGATGTGTATGTGTGTTAAATTTGTGATGTCATATTTTTTAATTTTTGTTTTCGGCATACATTGTTTTAGAATGTATAAATAAATAAATAATATATAAACAGCTCGACCGATTGTTATGAAGTTTTTATGCATATTCAGTAAGTCTGAGAATCGGCTACTATCTATCTTTCAACCCCCTAAGTGATAAGGGTGGTCCACCCCTAAACTTTTATTTTTATTTTTTTATGATTCAGCATACAAAAATACATACAACCCTTAATTTTCACCCCCTACGATTAACCCCTATAATTTAGTTGTTAATTAAAAACTTATGACATGAACTCCGAGGTTTATATAAAGAAATATTCACAGAAAAACCTAAAAAGTTTTCATTCCAGAAAACCGAACAGTCTCGGGTAGCATAGCAAAATGGTTCATGTAAAATCACATTAAGGAGAAACGAAGTTCGCGGGGGCAGCTAGTAGTAGAAAGATTTTACTAACGCTGCCTGGGATCGTGTTTTTATTCATGACTACCGGTGCCGCAAATTTCTAATAAATACGAAATTAAATATAAATAAATAAGATCCCATTTTCCCTAAATATGTTGACTTCGCCAAAACTAACTTATATTCAATTTAGTACCAATAAAAATAATCCTTTTCTAATACACGAGGATTTTCTATAAATATTTCAGCTAATAATAGTTAGGTAATATAATTAATATAACAATAAATCATTACGGACATTTGCGCAGTACATATTTTGTATAAGGTTGAGGTTAACTCATTGGTTTTCCTTGATTATGTAACAGTCAAAACTTTCACATCATGACGAATATATAATATGTGTAAATATTAGATAAAAGCAGATTACGTGATGTCTTACGAGTCTCACCATTAAATGATTCAAAATAAAATTTCATCAGAAATTCCTACGAAATTCTACGTAGAATTAGTTTAGTGGTTGTTTATTATAGTACATACATTGTTGCTTCTAATAAAGCTATTAAATTGAACACAGATTTTTTCCAATCATTCAACGAGATTTACGATACAGATATAGTGCTTTTCGATAAGCCAATTTTTAGTTTCTAATTTTGTCACGAGAGGGCCTTTTGTTACTTGTACTTGATTAGTCCCAGAATAAATTGTATTCAATTTCATCACATATTTTCATTACAACATCCACGTACATTCTAACTGGCTTTTCATTTTATAAGCCTCGTGATAGCTTACGCATTAAACTAAAGGAATCCAGTACTAGAAGTCTAGACAACTTTTTCTCGCACCTGCAACTAACGCGCAATTAATAAATACATAAGATTTATTTATTCTATTTTAGTACATATTTCATAGTACATTTATTCTATATTATCTCAGGATAGGTTTCAATACCTTCAAAGCATGACAAACTTAAATTGTACAACCATTCGTTATGTAATGTTAATTATACCATAATTACGTAGACGAATTAATGAAATTATTCATGAAATCATATACACGAATAAAAACATACCAAGGAAGGAAAATTAGGTTCTTTTTAATTCAGAATTGATAATTATGTGAACAATACAATCAAGTTATGACGTAAATGAAGGCATGCTATGCGGTTTCCTTCTCTATTTATATCGTAAAGGAGTACAAAGTCCGTTGACCCAAAACTTTGACTAGAAGATTAAACCAATTCCAAGTACTGCTTGACCAATGCCGATGCAAATTGTTTCCTGTACATATCTGTCGCAGTGCAAACAATATATTTATTAATTATGAATGAGATTTCCTCAAATGAATGACAATGGAAATTCTATCAAGCCACGAGCGCCGCTTATAAGCCGTTCGTTTACAAATGCGTTCAGCGCGAAGAATATAATATGGACAATATTATTCCATTCGTTCTTCTTGAAAAAGTTATTAAAGTAGCGAAGATGAGAGACAAATGGAAGAATTTGAAGAAGGCCCACACTCCGTCGGAGGTCGTGTAAATTAAATATAATAAAATAAAGCTCGCCCATATCACGGGTGGAATTTCGTATTCTGCCTCAATGTCCGATAATGAAACTCAGCTGCAGGTTTTAATCCGAACAACTACTTTGAACACTCTTCATGGGAGATGCATAGTGACCCCACATCTATACGCAACGCCAAGGGATCAAGGTGCTCGGAGAGGGATTGGTCGTCGAGATTCGTACCGCTTTTCGTTGAATACGGTCAAGTGGAAGGAGCTGTACTGGGGAGCTCAGAGGTGAGAACAGTACTTCATGTGGGGCCGAATTTGCGCTTTATATCAGCAATCATCATACATTTAGCAACATTATCGTATTTGCTTATTTATTTTTGTAAATAATAAATCCTATCTATATTATATATAAATCAGGTGTAAGAAATGTCAAAGTGCCTTACGACAGGTTATGCGTATAAATTTTGCATATCCATCGAGTTGTACCGGTTTAGACGAAATATTTACAAGACTGTTCAATTTTGAATTAATTTTAATCTCAAATTTTTCTCATATAAGTAATTCGAATGTCGTAGCAAAATGTGTTTTTCGTTTAATAAGCAAAAACTACTCTAATCTTGTTGAATAGTGTATTGTCCCGGTAGAATGCGAGACGCCGGAGCCTCTGTGACGCGGCTTTGTAGGAACTACTCGAAGTGGTTTTAGTGGGTATTGCTCACCCAGTCTCTGCATACCAGTGATTCTGGTGTGGGTCGAGTTCCACATAGCCCACGTTTGAAGGCAGGGTATGCTCAAATCAAAAAAAACCGAAGTGAAAACTAAACTCGGAGCTTTTACGCTTGGGCGTACCAGTAGTAGTAGTGTGGTACGGACTCAGTTTCCGCACTTAGACGCCAATTTTTCCGTTGTGCGTAAAAGCCTGTCTTCCTTTTTGGCACTACGCACCAGCTCGCTACCAGTATTATTGTATTATTTTATTAATTAGTCAATTTTCTTGTAATGTCTGTGTGTATTTTATTATAGTTAAGATTCCGTATTTCAATGTTATCAACAACTTTAAATGACGTTTTATATAGAATTTATTATGAGCAGTTTTTAATTACATTTTAGCAAATCCAATGATAGTACAGCTGGTACATAGCTATTTTGCCAGACAATAAAGTGTAGATGCCACCTTTTTTATTTTCATAGAACAGGGGGCAAACGGACAGGCTTACCTGATGTTAAGTGGTACCGCCACCCATGGATACTCTATAGTACAGCTGGTACATAGCTATTTTGCCAGACAATAAAGTGTAGATGCCACCTTTTTTATTTTCATAGAACAGGGGGCAAACGGGCAGGCTTACCTGATGTTAAGTGGTACCGCCACTCATGGATACTCTCTAGTACAGCTGGTACATAGCTATTTTGCCAGACAATAAAGTGTAGATGCCACCTTTTTTATTTTCATAGAACAGGGGGCAAACGGGCAGGCTTACCTGATGTTAAGTGGTACCGCCACTCATGGATACTCTCTAGTACAGCTGGTACATAGCTATTTTGCCAGACAATAAAGTGTAGATGCCACCTTTTTTATTTTCATAGAACAGGGGGCAAACGGACAGGCTTACCTGATGTTAAGTGGTACCGCCACCCATGGATACTCTCAGTGCCAGAGGGCTCGCGAGTTTTCTTGAAGGAACCTAAATCGAATTGTTTCGGAAATACTTCAGTGGGCAGCTGGTTCCACAAAGTGGTGGTGCGCGGCAAAAACTGCCTTGAATGACGCTCAATTGTGGAAAGGCGGACGTCGAGGTGATGACGACACCTCTGTGACTTAGCTGGTAGGCGTTTCATTAGGTTACGGGTTTGATAAATGGCAAAAAAAATTATTTCGGCTTGGAAAACTTGTCCATAAACATTTCAGTGAGTCAGCAGTTGCTATATTGTCATAATGCACATTTAAATGTAATTTTTCACAAATTAATTTATCTAAAAAATACAATTTTAAGATAATTTTAAATACTTGAAATCTATACTATAAATATGATACAAATTCTTCATTTTAAAAATAAACTTTGAAGTTGAAAGCTTAATTACAGGCCATCCTTGGCATTCAGCTACCTTTTACTTTCAATATGGCAAAAATAATATCATTAAATAGGAAATACAGTCGAGGTAAAACCAATTTAGTTCATATTGAACATGATCTTACAAATAAATCAGGGAAAACGGTACAATGAACAATACATGATATATATATGTTTGTCGGGTAGTTTAACTTAAAATGAAATTTTTGTCTATCATAAATATGATGAAACCTTATTGTAGCGATTATGTCTCAGAAATTAACTGGTTGGGTCCCATGATATCATTAAATACCCTAAAAATCATCACTTCTTATTAAATTATTGCATGTTTAAATTAGAATTGAACATCTTAGAAATTACCACTAAATAGTATTGAGCATTCCTTAGGAATTTTTACTCCGCTATAAATATTTCAGAATAAGATATCAGCAGAAGCTTTGGGCTACAGCTAATTATCATTTAAAAGTATTTTTAACAATATTATTCTGTATTTTGTTTGGATAAGCTTTCAAATTGATGTGTTAAGGCCAAAATTCATGTTAGTTTAGTAAGGAAAAGTAATTTACTTTAAGCAAATTTCAAACACTCGGTTCTCGGAAGGAGAGGCGGTCAAAAAACTAACAGTTAACTTAATGGTCAGGTTGTTTAGATTAGTAAATATCAATTAAATTAAACAAGAAGCAAAATAATACATTTAGCAACTTCATTCAATTAAGTAGTAAAGTAAGTTTAAATAAAAATTAACTTATATTTTTTGAAAACTTTTCAGAAATGATTTTCTTTTATATTGTTTTAAGTATTTGCCATAATATGTCTGATAGAGATAATAATCTTACCTCAGATATACATTGCTACCATATGGACTAGTGTCATGCTTGCGGTCTGCCGGCCGTCTCATTGGTCCAACAGATGATGAGGCTCGTCCTCTTTGACCCGGGGATCGGGGCGAGGGTGACATACCCCCACTCCTGCCCCCAGACATTGTGTATTGTGATACTAATGGTGTTTCCTCTGGCTGTTGGCAAGAAAATTTATTTATTAATTATCTTTAGTTATTAGAAAACAGTTATTCATTCAAATATTAATTTAATGAATTAAAGAAGATTATTCTTCATTGGCTGAAAATTTTTCATTTTCATTTATATGTCATATTACATAGATTTTGTAAACATAAATATTTTACACTAAAAAATATAATAAACTCATTCTCTACCCATGCACTATCATACAAAACAACCATTCCCATTCAAGTCTATTCAAATATGTTCCGTAAATGAAATGATATAGTTTTTTAATAATACAACAACAGATTACTTCATTTATGAAGACCTTATGCCTTTAGAAATAAGGACCAGCAAATACTTTCGGTTTGTTTATCTTAACACATGGTAACCCATATTGACTTGAACACATGTTATAAAACAAATAGAATAAATTTCATGTTCAGCCAATAACCCATTCAAGGACTGTCTTTAAAATGATAATAAATAAATCTTTACTGATGTAAAACAATAACGCTATTAGCAACCTACTGCATTATCTACATACAAAACATGTCTCATAGCCATTCAAAATAAGTGGATTTGCATAATCTACTAATAAGTTTTTAAAATTACAAAAAAGAGAAAAAATAAACATTGTTCAAACATGGGATAAAAAAACGGACAATCTAACAAGACTACATGTCTCAGCTTCTAAAAGAGAAACCTTAACAATCTCTGGTTCAGAGGTGGGCAGTTGTGGAGCGGCAACATTAGGTAGTGAACCGCTTCTGAACGAACCCACATTTTGTTGGTTTTGAACAGTCTCCGAATCTTTATCACTCAGTTCTATTGTAGCATTTATTCTTGCTCTTCTATTATTTGGATTCACCTGTAATCATTTAGCTTCAAGATACCATTGTCTTTTGAAATGGCTAGGATTGATATTTTAGAATGGTACCTATTCTGTTTATACATCACACCATAATAAAAAAACTATGTGAGAAACATGTAATGTTCAATGATAATTACTTGATGATATGAATGAAACAAGTATCAGATAACATTTATTTCTAATGTTAGAGTAGAGAGTAAGGTAAAGCACATCTTATTAGTGTGTGTACATACAACAAGAATATCCAATTCTCTAGCTTCTGATGTATTATCATTTCGAGACGATGTTAAGTCGCAAAAAGCATTAAAGTGTAGCAATTATTGTTTACGTCGGCTAGCGCTTTTGACGGCCAGGAAGCGATTGCCTGAGTAAATAGGCGATTCGCGACATACCTTATTGGTTGCGTCGGAAACTTCACGCATAATTTTTTCAAAGGCAGCCGTCTCCTCAGCTTGCTTTTGATTATGGAGGGCAATTTTTTCACTAAATTTCCTAGGATTCGCCATGATTATCAACAAACATTTATTATTCTCTTTTTACATCACAAATTTCTGCGTTCCTGCTTCCTAAACCCAAAACGCGCTTACTTGTCAAACTATATGTGTCAGAGTTCAGACGACAGACAGTAATTTAAGGAGTAAACTGTTAACTAATTACTGTGGTTTGTCACAGTTAAAACCTAAATCTATACTTTGACAGCTATAAGTTGAGACTGAGTACATTAGTATTTAATTGTTATTTTTTCTTTGTTTGTGTATCTGTTTCATAATTTATGTTGAATTACGTTTTTTAATCTACATTCTTTGTTTGAATGGAAGAGATCGCGAATTTCTTCTTTTAGCACACTAGCAATAATCGTAAGTCGTAACGACGCGGACGCAGACGTGGACGTGCGTCTAGTCGCTGACACTTGACAGCAAAAACTCGAATAATCACTGATTAGAAAATATTAGATATTTTCATATTCTGTGTAACTTATGCAAGGAAAAAATCACTCAGAGTCAGTGTCCGTTCTCCGTTGTCCACTATCCAGTATCCAGTTCCAGTGCCAAAACAAATAATAGATATATTTAATAATTATAATAGAAATAATACAACAGTTATAGTAAAATTAATATTTTTACTATTGTGTACAGCTTTTCCATGTGCAAATATAATTAGTATTTTAATGCTGTTAAATAAAAACTTTGCGCAGTGAAATAAAATAAAATACCAATGTGTATTCTGTAAATTTCTGATCTTGCAATTTTCGGAAATAATGGAAGATAAATATATTCTCGCATTGGATATTGGAACTACAACCATACGAGCATTTATTTATAACTCTCGTACAGAAACTATAGCTAAGGCAGTTGATCATGTATGTATTTTTTTAAATAAATAAATTTATATGAAACATTTAGTTTAATCAAATTATAATGCTTATAACACAGCATAGGTTTCATGAAATTTCAGTGCACTTACAGTGATGCTGCTCAAGTTATTTAAGTCTAATGTTTAAATAACTTTATATTTTGTCATTAAAATATTTTTTTTTATATGAGCAAGTTATTTTATTTATTATTATTTACTAGCTGTTTCCTGCCATGCTTCGCTCTAGCACATTGTGATTGAATGGTTGAGAAATGAGAAACAAAACAGAGAAAACATTTCATATCAGTTTAATTTTTCAATACTTGTGGGAAAAAAAATGAAATAGATAAAAACAATCCTTGATGGGAAATATATTTATGATAAAATTTTAGTTTGATTGGTGCAGAACTTTTTGAGTTTTTGAAGCGTACACAAATTAACAACATTTTATATAGATTATTATTTTATTTATAAGAACAAATGCATGTCGCCATTGAACACCCATCCTAATTTATAAATATTACAATATTGTATTTAATGCATTACATTCATTGGTGGGTTTATAAACTCTTTACTTATGTGGGGCTTCTTAAATAATTAAGTAAATATTTAATTGAAATATTATATGGCAGATGATAATGTTTTCAGGTAATACTGCATTATCCAGAACCAGGCTATGTGGAGATTGATCCTGATGAATTATGGAACTCTGTTGTTGATGTCATTAATAAGGCTTTAAATAGTATGTCTTACTCTTATTTCTTAAAAAGTATAATATTTATGATACATGCCATTTTTTAAATTAAAATTCAATTTCGAAAATTCAGGTGCCAAGTTAAGTCCTAGACAAATAACTGCGATGGGAATTTCAACACAGCGGAGTACTTTTACCACATGGTCTAGAGTAACAGGAAGACCATTTCATAGATTCATCACATGGAAGGATTTAAGAGCCGATAAACTAGTAAAATATTGGAATAATTCATATTTGTGGAAGGTGTGTATGAAACATTCTTAAGTTTAGGTTCGAAAAAGTGTATATAATCAGGCCATAAATTTAATTGTCTTCACATGAATATTTCATGATAGTTACAATGTTGACTTTTTATTACCATAATCTTCTAATTATCTAGTGAAAGAAAAACATTTATGTAATCTTCAATACTAATAATAATTTAAATGCGAAGGTCAAAACTATTCCATAATGACAGACATCATACACAAAAAGTTATAATGATCATCATTACAGGGTTAATTCCATAAAGTCTATCACGAAAGAGTTTCCTGTATTTAATTTTTATTTTTTGTTGTATTTGAAAAAATAAGTTGTGCACTACGAGCAGCCTTCCTGCTTATCAATAATCATATTCTTTCTTTTCATCTTAAGATAAAACTTTTTAAAGATGAATGTATGGACTAATATTGTGAATTTAGTTTTCTGATCCAGAATGTATTTAATTATTATTTATATTATGTCACATCCCAACTCGCCAAATTTTCTAGTACCAAATCGTACATACTCTTGCAGAGTACTTTTTTTTTTAAAGACAATTCACACCAATTGACCTAGTCCCATGCTAATCTGGTGAAGCTTGTGTTATGGGTACTACGCAACAGATATACATATTATAGATAGATAGGCATATAAATACATATTTAAACACCCAAGACCTAAGCACAACACCAAATGCTCATCACATCGATGTTCGTCTCAGCTGGGGATTGAACCCGGTACCCATGGATTCGCAGTCAGGGGTACTAACCATTAGAACAATAAGTCGTCACTAATAGGACAGTTTTATAATGCATTGAAATCTCTTATGTTGTTATTTTTTGCAGTTTATAAAGGTTGGTGCTTATGTACTGTATATGGTATCAAGAAGTAAAAGATTTAAGGCTGGAAGTGTTTTTAAATTTTCAAATAATCAGGTGAGGTTTTATAATTGTAGCAAAATCAAAGAAACATTCAATATTTTTTAGTTCGGAAACTTAGAAGTTATTCTGAAAGGGAGCGTGGAAGTATTACGGAACGAATTTGGGGGGGGGGTCGTTTTGTAAAACGTTACGATGCGGGGCGGGGATTGAATTACTCGTTATTGTTAATATTATTTTCGACTTTCTAGTACTTTACACCACATAATGGTAACTTTTAGGTATAAAGAGTCACTGCGTGGTCACGAAACTTAGGTATAGAAAAACGTTACGGCGCGTTACACGGGGGGGGGTGGGAGGGTCAATAATCTCCAAAAATGCGTGCTCCAATACTTGAACGCACCCAAAGCCAAATATGACAAAGTATTTTTAACCTAGCATTGAAAATAATTTATTTTCAGACTACTCTGCGACTCTATTGGGCTCTACTTAATGTACCCGAATTGAAAATTGCAATTGAGAAAAATGATGCAATGTTTGGCACATTAGATACATGGCTTTTATATAAAATGACAGGTAAATATTATTATATTTAAGATAAGATTTCTATATAGAACCTAATAATTATTAAGATCTAAGTATTTCTATTAAAATATCATGCTGGTAAATTCTGAAACAATTGGAGGAACATGTTTTTGTGCCGTATAAATTTTTTTTTTTTTTTTTAAAGACAATTCACACCAATTGACCTAGTCCCATGCTAAGCTGGTGAAGCTTGTGTTATGGGTACTAGGCAATGGATATACATACATTTTATAGATAGATAGACATATAAATACATATTTAAACACCCAAGACCTAAGCACAACATCAAATGCTCATCACATCGATGTTCGTCTCAGCCGGGGATCGAACCCGGGACCCATGGTTTCGCAGTCAGGGGTGCTAACCACTAGACCAATGAGTCGTCGAATTACCTGCAATGTTTAAATTATAGGAGTTTTTCTTGAACTTTTCAATATACCATTTAACGAGAATTTTATAGTTATGTATAATTTAAATGAAGGCCAAATTTTCCTGACTTAAAAAAAAAGAATGCTTAGAAGTTTTACCATACCTCTGTGAAATTGTTGAAATTGAATTATGTTTGAGTATGATGATCTATTCAGCTAAATATTGTGTATCTATTTTTTTATTTTTTGGAAATGGTAATTTCAACAAAATAGGTTGGTAGTTTTGTATCCTAAGAATTGTAGGTAGATAATATCTAATATATAAAATTCTCGTGTCACACTGTTCGTTCCCATAATCCTCCGAAACGGCTCGACAGATTCTTATGAATTTTTTTATGCATATTCAGTATGGCTGAGAATCTGCTACTATATTTCAAACCCGTAAGTGATAAAGGGTGGTCCGCCCCTAAACTTTAATTTTTTTTAAGACAATTTTTTTGTTTTTATTTTTCATGATACAAAATACATACAACCCTTAACTTTTACTCCTCTACGATTGACCCCTATTTTTATTATAGTAGATAGATATTTTTATTGAACTAAAAAATGTTTCCTAGAATTAATATACATGGCAAAACATTTTGCCGGTTCAGCTAATATCAATAATAAAATCTTTTCCACCAACTGAAAAAAAAAAAAAATCTATTAAACTTTTTGTTTGTGTTTAAATAAATAGGTATGTATACAGTCCACTACTCTAGTAAGTTAAATTACAGTTTTCGTGCGGTTAACGCGCTAGTTGGCGAACACTGAGAACAACAAACGCTTGCACTCCTTATCGCTTAGGAATTTCATTCGATTAATCCTTATCGCTTTAATTCCAGATAAGAAAATACACATGACTGATGTATCTTCAGCGTCAGCGACGGGTTTCTTCGACCCGTTCACTATGCAGTGGGCGGGGTGGGCCATGTCCATATTTGGTATATCCTTTGACATGTTGCCCACAATTGTGGACACTGCAGGCGACCACTTTACCAGTACAGCAAAGGAGATATGGGGGCATGCTATACCCATCAAGAGTTGTGTGAGTGACCTTATTCACATAAGGTTTCATTCACCTTATTGTATACATGATGGAACATACTAACAAAATTATTATCTTTGGCTTACGCAAGTACTACACGTTTAAATTATTTATATTAATAATGTTAATTAGGCGATTTTAAAATAAATAAGTTACTAAATCGAAGTGGTTAAGTTTAAGTATTCTATACCCATACAGGGTATTACATATCCATTCAGGGTATTATATACCCATATATAAAATATGACAAAGGATTGAAATTGGTCAAAAAATTTACGTATACGTGACGTCATCATACATAATGTGACAGAAATGACGCAACCGTAATTTTGAGATGGTTTAATAAAAAGTTAAGTTTCCTGACTCAATAATTTCCTCCAGATAGCTGACCAAACAGCTTCCATGTGGGGCTCATGTTGCTTCGACGTTGGAGACGTGAAGCTAACGATGGGGACTGGGACATTCTTCAACATAAACACGGGTTCTTCGCCCCACGCCAGCGTGTCGGGGCTTTATCCTGTAGTGGGGTGGAGATTGGGGCAGGAATTGGTCTTCTCGGCGGAAGGGGCAAATAATGATACCGCTAGTATTATTAAATGGGCCCATAATTTGGGTAAGTTTTTGAGTTAGCAAGAATGTCAAATTTGACAGTTGAATTTTTTTACACATTTATAAGCTAATTCAGAAAAAAAGGACAACCTTTTTTTTAATTGACAACAATTTGACCTGTATGTATGTGTTCGAAATTTAATATTTGAGCTTACATATGCATGTATGTCCACAAATACATCGGAAACTAAATTCGAGATTTCGATAATTTTATGATACCTCATAAATTGGATTTTAGTTCCAAATACGGCTCGCAGAGCGTTGATAGAATTTGAGCATAAACAAAATGTTACGACAAACACGTGGTACAAACACACAAATAGACGTACATACAAAAATATGAAACGCTGTCCCTACAACATGCGGGCATGGCCAGCGAAATCACGTACAAAAATAATTATATTTTCGGTACTTTGTTCTATTTCTACTCTTAGCTGAGGCCAAAGAACCATGGAACACGCCAAAGCTGTGTTCAAGTTATGGTAGCGACATAACCTAATAATTCGAGAGTTTCTACGGTTTGTTCCATGATGTGGGATGTGAAAACATCTTCTGCTTATTTTATTTTGTTTAGTCATAGTATTTTTCAACGTTTTTTTAACAAAATCCCTAGTGAGATACAAGTGTTGTCAATAAATAAATTTAAATCGTAACTGCTTGCTAAGGTCTATTATAATATAAATGAATATTTAAACGATCCTAGTGCTTGGATATGAATTGCTTTAGTATAAAGAGGTAACGCGACTGAATTTCTCGGCTGCATTTCTTCGGCCATGCGTCATACTCGTGAACGGGTGCTATTTGTGGCGACTGGTCGTACTTGAATTCGCGTAATAAGCTATAAGATTGTTCTTAACATAAGTTTATAATGTGTTCTTTTGTACCTATTCAAAAGTTATTTTAATATTAATTGTCCCATTTCCAGGCCTATTCGAAAAACCAGAAGATACAGCTGACATAGCGATGTCTGTCCCGGATTCGGATGGCGTGTTCTTCATACCGGCTTTTAGTGGACTAGGGGTAAGAACAATTCAACAGTTTAGTACAGAACAAACAGTCTAGATATTTTATACCTCTGTCTATCTTTGACTAAGACAAAATAAGATATTATTTTATTTTTAAATTTTTCATTAGCAGAATAAACTTACGAATAAATAAATTATAAAGGGTAGAAATTCAATTCAATGATAAATTTAAATCATTTTCGTATTTATTTTTTTCGTAGTTTTTGCGCGTATATATCTCGTTAGTAATAATAATATAATAATACTTAATTTTATAATGTATGGATATAATTGAAATTTATTTATTTACAGCCCCCATACAACGATTGTACGGCGGCTTCAGGCTTTATAGGAATGAAGCCTTCGACAACCAAGTCGCATCTAGTACGAGCGGTTTTGGAGGCGATAGCCTTTCGTACGGCGCAGTTGTACGATTGTGTACGAAAGGAAACGAACTATACGTTCAATACTATACGGTATACATTTTGTTCTATACATCTGAATATTTTATCGATTTTTAGCTGACTCTGCAATCTTGTTATTACAGTACTAATATTAAAAATGGGGGTTAGTATTAGCGGGGCCGGATTTAGGTGAGAGAATCGGGACTACAGCCTCGGGGCCTCCACAAAAGAGGGGCACTCACAATAGAGACTAGAAAAAATAAATTTTCTTTTGATGTATTTTTATATGTTTGATAAATACTTAAAGAATCGACTTGAACGGTGTATTTTAATACCAAGTTTTATAAAAATGGCGTCATTAATAAATAATAGTTTACGACCTTTTTGGTAGGTACACAGTAACTTTTTATGAAATTTTCTGTGTAGCTATTGGAAAATTTTATAAAAACAAACAGTTTCGGAGGTGTTTTGTTACAGATCGTCATGATCGTAGAACAATGTCGGATTTGAAAAAAATCCAAAATCCACTTTTTATTTATTATATTTGGATACTACATTGACTAAATATTACGGCTTTTTCTAGAAAACTGTGTAATTTAAAGTTATTATTTTTATTTAGTTTCAAAACAAACCCTTTTGTTTACTCGTATGCCAATTTTCATAACATAATATTAATTAAATTAGTTATGACAAAAACTAACGTGATTATATTATTTTGAAATGGCTGCCCTGTTAAGTTTACTATTTGTCAGAACCGTCACTATGACGAGATATACATCAAAATGTTATATATATATTTAATCTATGATAATTGTTTATTTGACTGATTTAGTTTTTAAAAGAAATTTATATGTTTATTATTCAATTAATAAACTTGTCAATTTCGAAGAATATTTCTTAAATAAATTTTGTATCATACATTGACTATGGGCTGTATGTGTTAGTAAAGACAAATGAACATATTTTAGTATGGACGGTGGCGTGTCTAACAATGATTTCGTGGCCCAATTGGTAGCGGACCTCACAGGGCTCAAAGTGGAAAGACCGGCTGAAGTTGAAATGTCTTCGCTTGGATGTGCTCATTTAGTTGGACTCACTTTAGGTAAGAATTTATTCATTCTTTCATTCATTCATTTATTTAATTATTCGTCCATTTGTTTGTTCGTTAATTCATTCGTTAGTTCATTTATTCATTTGTTATTTTAAAGAGTAGATAAATGTGTGGCACTCGGGACTGCCGCGGTAAAGCTATTATTGCATAGCATTTTTATCAACTTATGCAATTATAATTAATTATTTATTTATTTTATATTTATGCAGCTTTTTTTTTCTTTGATATTAATTCAATCTACCAGACTAACACGCCTATATAGTCTGTCTCACTCTAACGCGTACCGGATGCACCGGCCGCGCTTACGCTACGTCACCGATCTCAGAGAGATGTGGATACGCAGTATGCGTTCTGTCTCACTCTAACGCGTATTGGCCGCACCTATATTACGTAATCGTGTGTTAGGTTTATTTCGTTACGGAATTTCTTGATTCGGTCGCCGTGCTAAAGCCCGCGATAAAATCTATGCAATAGCTTAAAGAAAGTTAAATGTTAATAATTTTTTTCTTATTTATTTTTCAGGTATATTCAAATCGAAAGAGGAGCTTAAATCTCTCCGTAAAATAGGTACTGTATTTTCACCGCGTGCGCACGTCAAAAAATCGTACGACGTCACGATTTCCCGTTGGGAAAACGCCGTCAAACGGATGTGTGGATGGTATATAGACAATAAGTCGTCCCAAAATAGTATTTCTGATAGTTCGGTGACGCCCCAAAATAGCTTCAAGAATGGCAAGGCGAAATAGCATCGGTTTTTGTACCTATTTCTCAAGAGTCTAAACGGACTCAGATGATATAGGGACACATTTTATTAGTTGTTATATGTGTAAGGTATTATGGACTTTAAGTCAAGTGAATAAAATCGATTTTGTGGTGGGATTAGTTTTTATACTAGCTGGGTCGTATTTTGTACTAGTTTAATAAGATTTATAATTATATGAAATACAGTCGTATTTTTTCCCCTATACAGTTTAATTATATTTAAATACGAGTTTAATTTGGTCGGACAGCCCCACAAAAGAGGGGCGCCCACAATACACTTGAGAAAAATGTTATTACAATCTCTGTAAGTTGACAACAGATGGCGTTATTTTAAATCTTCTTATACAATGTTTTTTTTTACGTCTTTCCGATAAACTGTCTGCCGGGCTGACTTGATAATTAATAAAGAATTAACCGTAGAGATACTGAATAACAGTAAAGCAATCATTTTATAAGTTCAGAATTGTAAACTAGATGGCATTAGTGTGTCAAGTATCAATAGACTAAAGACGTCAAAAGCGTATCGGATTTTGACATACTGTAATCATAGGCCCGGTGTTTAGTAAAACGTTATTCAAAAATTACGCATGAGACTGTATTTAATCTAAATGTGTTATAACTTTTGATATACATGAAAAGATACGAAAAGTATGGAAACAATTAGTAAACTTAGCAAGCGCATTCCAATATTATTTAATAAAATATCGCTCTCTATATATCATAAGATGTAAAATCTGTGTGGAAAAAACTGTGAAGTAATATAACTTTTACGCGTCTTTTCATTTATTCACAAAAGATGTTTCTGTCGAATAATGACGTAATAATTTAGCAGTAGAGACCTCAATTCCTACAGACTATGAAAATGTTTAATCTTTGACAATTTACTTTTATTTTGAAGCCAATTTGGTCATGATCGGGCAATGCGTCAAATATTCCGAAACCAAGTAGATGCTTTAATTAGGTATTTAAAAACGTATAAAAAAATATTAAAAGTAAAGTTGTTTATACTTTATTTGTATTAGGAATTTAAAACACTTTTTTTCTCCAGACTATTATGGGGCTGTAGCCCCGGTTCCAAAAATTAAGAAGTAGACTATAGAAAAGCTTTAGATTAATTCCTGTTCGAGGTGTCAAACATTAAATCAACCTGTACATGACGAAATTATCATATTGTCTACTTGCAGTCTTTCGTCCCTTTCTGTCAAATTATGTTTACATAATGTTGAATAGGGACAGATGAGTGCTTTATACTTTGACTGGGTTTTGAGGGTCTAAAACTCCTATTCAAGGAGGCAGTATCGAATCTTTTGAGATCTCTACGACGAGTCATGAGAAATGTATTTATTCTCGCCAAAGGCATTTTTATTATTTATTACATGACATTAGTAGATTATATGACTTTGTCATCTAAGAAATTTGTGTATAATTAGTCAGAATATAATATAATAGTTTCATTTCTTAAAATCAAATGTTACAATAGATTTAAGTTATTTAATAAGAGAAATAATTAAATTTGGACTGGTTATGTGTCGTCGACTTTAGACGTCGATAGACTAGTCAACAAAGTCTATGGTTTTACTAACGTCTATGGTCTATGGTTTGAGACAACATTAGATGAACTCACGTGGCGTTATGTCACACCTGTCGCAGTGATTTTGTCTCAAGCCGCTTATAACATTACATAATGTAAGAGAATGACAACAATAAAAAGCCCCGTAAATGAGGCTCACCTGGTTTTAAGTGATACCGCCGCCCATGGACACTCACATTGCCAGAAGGCTCCCAAGTGGCCGGCCTTTTAAGAATTGGTACGCTCTTGAAGGAACCTCAGTTGAATTGGTTCGGAAACAGTTCAGTGGGCAGCTGGTTCCACATAAATGTTATGCGCGGCAAAAACTGCATTAAAAATACCTGTGGCACTCGGGGACCGCCGCGGTAAAGCTATTGCATAGCATTTTTTATATATTTTTAATATAATTATTTATTTATTTTTTGCAGTTTTTTTTTCTTTGATATTAATTCAATCTGCCACTCTACCAGACTCAGACTAACACGCCTATCCAATCACGCTAAACCGATGTGAGACGCAGTATGCGTTCTGTCCCGCTCTAACGCGTATTGTCCGCACCTATTTTACGTCATAGTGTGTTACGTTTATTTCGTTACGGAATTTCTTGTTTTGGTCGCCGCGCTCTTATATGTAGCTTAAAAACGCTCAGTTGTAGAAAAATTGGGTACTTATATTAACGCCACCGCGGCATAATTCTGGTAACGATTTAGAAATCCGTCGCCCGAATTTGATGATACTGATTATATAGGTGTCTTCGGGCACCTTGATTGGAACACCTCCAAGTGATTTTTAGAATTGATTTTAAGAATTTAAGATAGATTCAAAACTGTCTTTATTTTCTTACCATTAAATTTTTGCCGCGGTGGCGTATTAACGTAAGTACCAAAAATTGTATGCATACATAAGCAGAGATAGCATAGTGCGTCGTGATGCGGAAAAGGCTACGATGTGTCTCTGGCAATTGCTGGTGGCGCCGTGGGGTTTGAGTGGGTATACACAGTAGGGAGTCCCACATAACATACCATCACAAGGCAGTCACGCCTCGGGAGGGTTGTACATATCCCCATGAAAAAAAAAGTATTAGCCTTGTGCCTCAAACGTGCGATCCTAATCTCTGAGGTGGCATTTGGCATCAGACGTAGAAGTTTTATCACTTATGTATATAAAATAAAAATTATTTAATAATCATTTATGATTGTTGCGCCACTGGATTATTATTATTTATTTATTGTATACAATTTTATTTGTTGAGTTTTTTACATTGCCTTTTCTATTTGAGGCTGAATTGTTATTTCCTTTTACGCTTTGAATTATTATCAGTCTTGATTGGTTATGGTCCCAAATAGATTTTAAGACGCAATTATTAAGTTAAATATATTATATGGAAAATAAATATCAATTTATCTATTTTTGTGTTTTATTCGTTGAAAGCTTTCTAATGCCGGCCATACACGCTACGGTCTACCGGAGAGGTCCACCTGTGCAGGTATGCCTGCGCAGGTAGACCGGAATGTGTGTGGGAATAGACCGGCGCAAGATCGAAAATCGATTCTTTCTAGTGACACCGTACGGTGTACCTGTGCGTGTGTGCGTGTACTCCGGTCGCCTGCGCAGGTTGTTAAGATAGTAATCGGCAGTGTATCTACATTTATTACTTATGTTTTAAGTTTGATTTGTTATTTAACTGTGTCTTCTTTTTTTATTATAGCAGTAACCATTTAAAGTAATTTAATGTATGTTTTCTCGTCCATTCGAAGATAGTTTTTAAATTTTCTGGTTCAAATTTCAATTCATTTAATAAATTAACATGACTATATGTTTTCCTTTTCAATAACCAATGCTTACATCACTTTCTTCGCTTGTTTTTCGTATCATTTTTCTTCAAAATTAAAACAAGACCTAGCAACGCCAGCGTGTCATCGTCCACATTCGATGCCATCGCAAAGAGAACTGAAGACCGCTCCGATACACCGGAACGTCCCCATACACGCTACCTTTGTTCGGTTGACCTGCGCAGGCATACCTGCACAGTTTACCTCTCCGGTAGACCGTAGCGTGTATGGCCGGCATAATAGTATAAAAAAAATCATGTGTGTAGAAAAAAACGACACTAACAAAAGAAAAAAATACACTCAATCATAAACACACTACAATCATTTTTCCCTAACGCCCCAAACGAAGTATAACTTCAAAAAAAAATAAAATGATGACTATAGCTAACTACAGGGGGTCGGATTTTTGTAACGGTGTGTGCGCGCATCGTATAAATTTACTGTTATCATTTTTCCCTAACGTTAACGTTCCTTCACGTTCCTTAACGTTAGTTCTTCTAAGACTAGAAAAATAAAACAAAAAATAAAATTAATTATATTTATTATAACATCATATTTACAATATACTTATTGTTAAATAAATAAATACGCATTTAGAAATTCACTTTGGTAATTTGGGATTGATTTGCTCCAGTTCAAACAATTTGTATGACAATACTTGGCGATTAAAAAGAGTGGCGGAAAGTTTCTTGCCAGTTCTTCTTACCCGCTCTACGCACTTGACTTGCGAACTGGTAGTAAATGTAAATTTACAATTAATTTAACTTGACTATTCATAAGTGTAATTGTTTACCTACATGAATAAAGACATTTTAAGTTTGAGTAACATCGTTTATATGAAATACCTAATGCTCATAATAAACTCTTAGCTTAAGATAAATTTGATTTATAAGTAACAAGCAACAGGCTTGTGTAAAGTTTTAATAATATTTTTGGGCTTAACTTAACGATGTCTTGACATACCTTACATTATGAAAAGTTAACATTTGTTTGATATTTAAAATGGTTTCGGATTTACAAAAGGGTTTAAAACGATTTTCAGCAAGAGAGTCTGCCATTGAATTTCATAGTTAAGCTGTGCTGTAGTATCTTAGATGTTAAATATCTCCCATAAGAATAAAGGATTCTATTTAGGATCAAGACACACCGATCTGACTTCCGTATGCCAAGTCCGACGCTTCTGTCATACTGACTGATTAAGAGAAACTTAACTTCTAACCCACCCAACTCGGTAACGTCTTGATTCTTCTAACAAGTCCTGCAACGTCGCTGTCGGCTTGTAACGCCTCGGACTCTCCAAGAAGATCGTTGTTTATTAAATCTTCAGGTACGGCAGATCTCTTCTGGACGTCGTGTGATGGGGTACTGTCTGTTCCCGATTCGTTCAACGGCACCGCAACAGGAACGAAACCAATAACTTCTATAATTTCAACTGTTGACTCCTTGTCGTCTGGTGTTGGTAGAGCGTGTAGAACTGTCGCCGTGACTAGCAAAAATAATAATGTTGGATTCATATTTACGTGGTTTGTATTAACGAGTGGTTCACTTGCACGATTTTTGAATAATAACCTTATAATCGAACTTGTTGTTATATATAGCAGTTAAATAATTGTGTTAACTAATGCAGAATTTTTGACGCGTGACATGTTAATTTTTTGAGTAAATATTTTGATAATGACCATGAATATCAGTTGACTAAGACGAGGTACTTGAATCATAGATAAATATTTTTCGGAAGACTCATTTATTTTTGGATATAATTATGTTTGCGATTTTGATAAACGTGTGTTGGGATTTTTTTCATACTTTCTTAAGAAGTCCCGTATTGGGAGGCGTTAGACAAATTACAGTGTTTATCATTGTTTTTGTGTGTTTTTTTGTAGACAGGTAAGTGGTAACCTTCTTGAAATGTTTGAAATATCTGTCTGTAAACAGAGTACAAGTGTCGTATGTCAAAAAAAAAACATTTAGATTTTATTCTTAGACTCTTATGTCATTTAACTGGTATAATCATGAAGTAAGGACTTATTTATGTTATTAATAAATAAGTCCTTTTTACCATCGAATCTATGGACAAAAACACATAATAATATTTTAACGAACATTGACGAAATTAAACATTTTTTTTCGTTTCCTGTAATGTTTGGACATATTATGAGGTTATCATTCTACAGCGACGTTATGAAGGATTTTTGCAGTACATCCATTAGAGTTCATGGTCCCTTTGATAAACATTATCTGTTTCAATACACACAAGTTTAAAGAAAATTAATAAACGGCAAGCAAATAATTGGGGCGGCCGCAGAGCAGCAGGAAAATAAACGGCTCAAATATAAGAGTCTTTCCTCCAACTTTGATTTTTTCCTCCATTTACTCACAAACTGAGACGAATAGGCCGATGTAAACATCCTTGCTGTGCTCTCACAACTGGCCGCGGAGAGCCGAGGTCAAGGCACATCGGGTGATGGGAGACGGACAAGCCTCCGCTGTACCTAAACTCTTTATAACGCGTTTAGCTATAACGAAGAAATCTCTATAACGTAAAATAGTTACATTTGTTTGGTTTAACACAAAACCCATACATTAATTTACTCTTTACAACCATTCTCTATAACGAAGAAATATTTTCATATTTAGACACCAACAACAAACTTAAGTGTAATTGTTTTGAAATTCTGATCTCAGTTACTAAACGCACCACCGTCACCTATCGTGTAGTATCAGTCGTAAACAAACTTTGAAACTGTCAAGATGGCCAGTAAAAGAAAAGCGTTGTGTTTAGAATAATTTACCTATTGTTAGTAATAAAATCAAACATTATTGTAATTGGTTAAATTTGTTTTTTTTCTATTTACTCCTATAACAAATCCTCTCTATAACGAAAAAAATGCTCTGTCCCTTGATATTCTAAATTCGTTATAAAAAATTACACTGTATATCGCACCTAGAGTGAGCGTTGGTGGAACCGTGCGGGTTTAGTTCTGCACTAAGGGAGTCCCACATTACCCTCCTCACTTCCCCTCGTAAAAAGTCAGCCATTTAGAAGTGACAGACGCCTGCTTTTATATCAATTAAATTAAAATGTATTCCGTGGGCTAAAGAAGGCTTATAAGCAGTGGTTAGTTTAGTGTTTCGTATAATTCTAAAACCTTCGAATCCCGACTATGCCCCTCTCATTTTCCTTCTTTATACACTCTTACGGCGAAGAAAAACCATCGGAAGGAAACATGTTATATACCCAAAATTAAGCGACACCTACTTGCATAAAGAAAATATGCGTAAATTGACGCACTTTCTCTGCCCCATAAGGAGATTTTAGCTTATTGTCTGGTATTATTCGTACACGTAGAATACCTGTATGGCAAATCTATATAGAGACAGCTGCCGCCAATTCCATCTCTTATATTTGTGAATATTAATCATACCAGTCCTCTGATAGCCATGAACCTATGTCCTTTCATGAAAACTGAGAATTTATTAGTTTCATGGGCACGGTTTTTATTATGTTTATTTTTCTATTTAGACTTGTATTATGTATTCTGAAGTAGTGACAGATATTATATAAATATCTGTGTTAACTCACAGGTAAGTGTGTGGATAGAAACCTTGCACCATTGTTTATCATGTATTTAAAGGCCGGCAACGCACTCGCAAGTCCTCTGGCATTGAGTGTCCTTGGACGGCGCTATCACTTAACATCACCTCCTGCCCGTTTGCCCCCTCTTCTATAAATAATAGTATTAGATTTAAGTAACTGCAAATCGATTTCTTATTGGGAAAAAAACTAATGATGGCGGAATTTTTGACTAAACTTATAAAAGAACAAGAGCAGGCCTAATGGCATTTCTGATGCTACAAATGTTTATGAGTAAAACGGCTTGCCTTACAACTTTACGGCGTGTCTCAGGTACTCAAGACTGATCACCTTACTCAAGTAGGTGATCAGTATTCTACTAGTAGAATACAGGATAACGTTGATAAAATAAACCCTTTGGTTGGTTTGATAATAAAAGCCCATTTACAATGTTTTTAACACTTTTTACTCTGCCAGGTGATGTATTTTCGAACTACTTATTAAATAATAAATTTAAATAAATTCAAAGGCTTTTATTATCAAACCAACCAAAGGGTTTATTTTACTAACGTTATCCTGTATCCACTCCTTCAAGTGGATGAAAGAATGATGAAACGCTTTGTTAAATATAATAAAAAAAACAAATTATTTTTAGCTTATATACCAGCAAACTTTTCGTACAGTTTAATATTATTTAAGATCCCGTTAGTTTATAATTTTTACAATTTTTAATTTTTAAGGTTCCAATTTTTTTTTCCATTCTTACAAATCATTAAATAATAAATAGTTTGCTTATTACTAATCATAACAATCAAATATAAAGTATTTATAATTTTTTAACCTACATAATAATCATAAAATTTAAACGAAAATTAAAACAAATTTAAAAAGTTTGGTCCCTGTTAATCTTTAACGCTGGCAGCATTTCCTCGCTGTATTACGATACTCAGAGAATCGGCTACTATCTTTATACCAAATTTTTATTTTTTAGATTTTTTTTGTATTTATTTTTTTATGATACAGCATACAAAAATACATACAACCCTTAATTTTCACCCCTCTACGATCAACCCCTATTTTTTATAATTATTGTAGATAGTTATTTATTGAACTAAACAAATGTTTCCTAGAAATAATATAGATGGCAAAACAAACGTTTGCCGGGTCAGCTAGTTTCTTTATAATATCATCTAGGTGTCAATTTTATATTAACATAATACAAGTATATACTTACGTTCTTGATCTGTGTCGTACATCACATGACCCACCGCTCGTGCGCAGGAAATTATGATGTTTATTGATAATGCGTCAGTTTCAAATGAACAAACATTATCTGGTAGTCATATTTATTTAGCCCTAATCAGTTCTGCAATCACTGCGGGATTTATAAATGTAAGGATTTATATTTAAACTATAGTTGAACGTAGCAAGCAAGATTGAATCAGTCGGTAATGCGTTTAATGTTCTTCGCCGTCGCGTCGCTGGCATTGCTGGCGGCGTGCGTCTGCGCACCAAACGATGCAATCCAACACATACCAAAACAAGAAGCAACACAGTCAGCTACAGAAAAAGACGGTGCGGCATCTGGTGTTTCGGCAAACAATGCTGGATCTTCTGAACCGGAAAGGGAGAAGAGGGATCTAGGCGGCCAAGAAAGTGATTTGCTTCCGTCTGATCATGAGGTGTCGGCGTTTGGAGATAATTCGCTGATTGGTCGTGGACGGATCAAGGTTTTACCCGCTTTTCTAGGCTGATTGATTATAATGAAATTAAGAGGATTCTAAGTAATAAAAGCATGAATTAATGACTCCGATTTTTATAAGTTTTTAAAATTGCGTAAGCTTTAAGTTAACAAATATTGTAATTTAGATAATGAATAAACGTTTATTTAGTAAAGTTTGTTTTTATTCATAATCAAGGATTTGTCGAGTGTCTATGGCAGTCGTACCCTTGGTACTTCCTGGACCGTCTGAAGCTTCGCGAGTTATTTTTATGAGCTTATCTTTAATCTCGAGTGTAGAGAGTATAGCAGATACCAAATCCTTTGATAGTTGATACAGAGGTTCTTCATTTTTGGATTGTGAGTGACAATTGGGAAAAGGGATACTCTTCTTTAATAAAATCCCAGAGGCTCTTTTATCTCTCCCTTTTAATAAATTTAAGAAATGCTTTAAAGAAAAGCTGTGTTAAAAGGCTTACTATAAAGTTAACGATTGTCTAGTTGATAAAAGTGTGACTGTGAGTTTAATTGATTTCTAAATCGTTGACTGGTCATATTCCTGAAGGCCCATACAAAATGAAAAATCATAATTAAAATCTCAACCACATAAAAGTGTCTACGATTGTCTAACACATCTTACCGAGACATTAACCCTACAGTATCTATTTCATTGATCTCTATCAAATGATTAAATATTATGACACTATCTGAACGTATTCTTGAGTCTTGTTGTATGTACAAAAAATATAAACGATTTTAAAACAAACGGTGACTTTCACCAGTATAATACTCGAAACGGAATGACCAAACAGGCTCCAAAAGATAAACCACTCCTTATATGGAAATTGTATTCGTTTTAACAACAAACTACCAAGCGAAATTAGAGAATTATCACTGAATAAATTAAAAACTCGCGTTAAACGTTAATTAATCAATAAAGCTTTTTTATAAATTTGACGATTATTTAAATGATCCTAACCCTTGGGATCGATTTGCTCCAGTTCGAACAATTTGTATGACTAAAAACTTAACGAAAAGAGTGGCGGAGAGTTTCTTGCCGGTTCTTGTTGCCCGCTCTACGCCCTTGACTTGCGAACTGGTAAATATAAATTTAGAATTAATTCAACATCTTTTCTGTTGACGTTCATAAGTGAACTTGTTTACCTATATGAATAAAGTTATTTTTACTTAAATTTGTTTGCCTACCCATATATGTATGTACTTTTTGTTATGACTCAATATGACTTTGCTGTGGAATGGAAGCCTGGTTATCCATATCACAGGTTCATACCAAGTTTGGAAACCAGTCTTCCAATACCTTCTCAACTGTAATCTTATTGTTCGTTGTAAATGTTATATGGTAGAAAATAAATTATTCTATAAAGTTAGTTTATAGTCGGAGATCAAACACGTATCAGCAGGCATCATAACCACTCTTTGTCGGTAATAATTATCGCTAAATAGGTAACTGTGTTAATCTATTTACATATGAAATGTCATTAATTACCACATTTCCAATACATTTATATATACTCCTTCCTCATACCCAAACACTCAATCATGCGAGTCTTATTGTCTTTGATTTTAATATCATTGGTCACAGCTAATATGGAAAATGTGAATATAAAGGATTTAGAGACAGCCGACAGTGAATATGTGTATCGGCCCTTGTATGTGTACAGAAGAATAGAACATAGCAAACGCCGTATAACGATGTTTAATTCGTTCGCAGGATAGCTAAGGTATATATTATATTATCCGCAACTTTAAAACGACCAACCTAGTGAGTTATAATAGTGACAATTAATTCTTGAAACTTAGACTATGAAAAATATAATTCTGTAACTGTCATGGCCCATTTGGTCGATATCCGATATGATCACGCATATTTAAATAGGAGTGTCTCGGTGATATTGTGTATTTATCGTGACGGATCGTGACGTGACGTGACGATAGTGGATAACACAATAGATAATACAAAAAAAAGACGGCAAATACAGGGGTCTAGGCTCCAAATATGATTTTGACCCATTCGTTGTCGAGACCCTTGGTCCGTGGGGTCCTAGCGCTTTAAGGCTTTTTAAAGAAATATCAAAAAGGTTAGTCTACATCACAGGAGACCGAAGAGCTGGCAGCTACCTCGGACAAAGAATTAGTCTATCTATTCAAAAGGGGAACGCTGCCATTATCTTCGGAACTTTGTCTAAAGGGGCTCCTTTTAATAATATATTTTAGTTGTTTTATTATATTTTAAGGTTAGTTATTGTTTTTATTGTTCTTTTTCTTGTGTTGTTCCTTCTGTTATAATAATTTCTATTAAAACATAAATTTTCATAGAAGGATAAAATCATCTGTTTTGTTAAACCTTCAAAACCTTTTTTTTATGCATTTAACACGGAGTGTGATCTGAGGAGTTGTTCGGATACCTGCAGCTGAGTTTCATCCTCGGACGTCGAGGAAGAATACGAAATTCCACCCGTATCACCTCGATGGTTGTCTCTGCCGCGCACCACTACTATTTGATGCCCACCATTTCAGAACCAATTCTACTTAGGTTCTTTCAAAAAAAGAGCGTACTAACTCTTAAAAGGCCAGCAACGCACTTGCGAGCCTTCTGGCAATGTGAGTGTCCATGAGCGGCGGGATCACTTAACATCAGATGAGCAATTTGTTTGTTCTATAAAAAATACTTTATAAAGACATATTGTAATTCATGATTCTAGCCAAAAGAAGGACAGTGCTTTCCAACAAAATTTAATTTTACCACCGCTCGAGGTTCCGCTACTTCTAAAATCTTTCATAATTTTATTACTTCAATTAATTTACACCTTAGTTAATTGACTGTATAAAATAATTTTATTACCTAACGATAACGTATTTTTCGCCATTTGGAATAAAAATGTTGAAACTCGTGTTTGGCTTGTTGTTTGTGAGTAATCCAAATTTGGTGTCAATTTGTTATTTCAACATATCCATGATAATTTAAGTATAAACACTAAAGTCTAAGTACCATCGAGATATTGAAGAGCACAATGAAGCTACTTAATTTTATGCGTATAATAGCGACTTTGATATTTTCTATCTACCTATCGCCTAGCTAAGTGATACCTGCTGCCCATAAACACTTGCCAGAGAGCACAGAACGTTGTCGGCCTTAAAAATTCGTACGCTCTTTTTTTGAAGGACCCTAAGTCGACTGATCCTTGGTTCGAGTCTCAGGACAAATGATTTGTTTGATAGGCACTGTAGTGCGTAGCAGTCGTAGAAACTAACTGAAGTAATACAATAGTAATAAATTACCTTTTTATCTTTATATATATATAATTCTTCTGTGAGTGTGTATGTCACTGAACTTCTCTCAAACGACTGGACCGATTTTGATGAAATTTTTTGTGTGTGTTCAAGGGGATCTGGGAATGGTTCAGATTCACAAATCAGCCCGGCAGATGGCACTGCAGTCGGTACTTTCATACTTTGCTTAATATCCTAGTCGCTTTAAATATCATGCAGGACAACGTCTGTGGGGTCCACTAGTTTATTAATATAACCTAATATATTTAACGTTTATAAAGTAATCCTACAGCTAACATAAATTAATATAACAAAAAACAATAACTTACCACACCCAACCCCAAAGGACCCCACGGACCAAGGGTCTTGACAGCGAATAGGACAAAATCATATATGGAGCTTTGACCCTTGTATTTGCATGCTTTAGCATTTCCAGCCGCTTCACAAGCCGCACCAGCTCTGTCGTTGGTTCCAGGAAGATGGGAAGGGGCGAGCGTGTCTCCCATCCCATACCAGCACCCGGCCCATCTTCCATGGAATCATGGGGTTTACATTTTAATTATGATTTTTCTATAGGTCAAGACCATCCATGCAGGAATATCACCAGTCCACGATTTTAGAAATCAATTAACCTCACAAGTTGGAGACAAATTATTACCAATGACTTCACCTTACAATGTCCTCAAGCATTTGGATAATTCCGTGATAAAAGCAACAAAAAATGTCACTCACAATCCAAAAATGGAAGAAACTTTGTATCAACTATCAAAGGATTTGGTATCAGCTATACTTTCTAAACTCGAGATTCAAGATAAGCTCACAAGAATAACTCGAGAAGCTTTAGACGCTCCAGGAAAAACCAAGGGTATGACTGCCATAGAGACTCGACGAATACTTGACTACATTTCAAGAACTTTATCAGGTCATATTCTTACTATCACAAGGGCTTCCACAGAACCTGAATTACATAGATTAGTATATGGTTTGGCTCAAATAGCCGCGGAAATTTCAATTGTATCAGCATTAAGAGACATTACTTACGCTACAGCTCTATCGAAAAAACAGTCCGTTGATCTTTCCCTGCGTAAAAAGAGATCTATATTACCCAACAATGCTATCGTTGTAGCTTCTACGCCACAATCTAGCCAGTCTACAGTTTACGATATTATATTGAATAGACCCATCACTATATCTTCAACAGAAGCACCAAGCAGGCTACTGAATATTACCCGATATTCTGTTAATTTATCAAAGAAGTCAGTAAATATAATTCAAAGCAAAAAACGAGCTCTACCATCTCCCCCCGAAAGGATTTCTAAATCAGACAGTCCTGGATGCTCTAGTGAATGATGATATAAATGATACGGATGCAATTATAGTACAGAATAAATTAAATAACACTCATGTCATTACACAAGACAGTCAAACACTTGACAACCAGGAAATGAGTGCACCGAATCTAATAGATGATTGGGTCGACCCAAAAGAAAAAGTATACACCCTTAACCCAGATGTCATAGCTGAAATGGAAATCGATCAGCCAGAAATAGAAGATGATGTAGCGAACGAAAAAAAGACGAAACAAAAGCTCGAAAGATTGGAAATAAAAGCTAAAAAAGCAATATTATACGCTGGTGATGTAGCATATTTGACTGCAGCAAGCGTCGTGGCTATGCGTCGTGCTTTAACTGCATCAATTGAAGTCCAGATGTCAGTAAAATATGCCAAAAATGGTATGTCGAACCATCAAGATCTAATGATGAATTTGGCTAAAACGGCAGCCCAACAAGCGGGCAAAGAAGCGAAGAGTGCAACATCGAAGTCTCTAGCTTGTGAAAGGGTTATAAAACTAGCTTTAAAATACACTGCGCAATCAAAAGGAGCAAAATTGAATCACGTTGCCAATAGAGTTGTTATGGACACGTTATCATTGGCAACACTTGCAAAGTCTATGGCTTTTGTGTCATCCGATATTGCGATTAATTCTTTGTACCAAGCCACTGACGTAAAACCACCATCATGATCATAAATAAAAACTCAGTACGTTAATACATGTTTTATTTAAAAATTACTTAGTTATTATGTCGTTAGTAGAATTACCATGTGTTCCAGTATGAATAATATGGCGCGTAATCAGCGTAGTATGACGCGTAAACTCTGGAACAAATAACAATATTAAAGATTCAATGACAGATGTATCCAACTGTATCCAACATAGACATATTGCTTTTTTTTAAACTAGTTTGTTACGTTCACAACATCATCATTATAGTTCGACAATAATTATACTTGACGTATATCGCATAACCGCCACGCCCTCACTTTAGTAACCTTATTCCGGTTCCCGAGAAGGCGTAACTTAACAGTATTTGTTATTTATATTAAAGCCCATCCACACGCTTGACAAACAATGGCAAACAGCTAACAGCAAACAGCAAACACGGACGTGTGGATGGGTGTTTGTCGTTGTTTGCCTGTTTGTGTTCGTGTTGGGCAGTGTTCGGCATCGGTGTCGGTTTATCTTGCCAGATCAAAGGATGTTTGGCAAACAGTTTGCTACGTATCCACACGTTTGGCAGCGATCAGTATGCGCGCGAGCTTGCGGGAGGCGGACGTATTTACTTGCTACACTTTCGTTGGCGCGCAAAGCGTTAAAAATGTCTGATTGGAGCACCTACGATTCTGACATTTTTAAGTAACTTTTAAGTAAAATTAAAAAAACACGGCAAAGTAAAGCTCAAATAATAGGTCTAAAGCCTTGTACGCTTTCTATGTATTTTAATCATCCACCATCGTCTTTGCTTTCTTCTTTTTTTCCTTTTTTCTTTCTCTTGCTTTAATTTATAATAAAAATATGTCAACCCGAAAGTAATAGCTGCAACAAGCTCGTCGTCCGCCATGTTTGCCGATTCGGAATGTTATGAACGTTCGCCAAGCATGTGGATGGCTGTTTGTGTTGGGTGATTGTGGTTGGTGTTTGGGACTTCGTTTGCTTTTTGCGGTGTTTGTGACAAACAGCCAGCGTGTGGATGCCCCATAACACGTAACCTTATCACGAATTGCAAAAACAATACCTATAAAAATTAACTAAACATTAAAAAAAAGAATGTGTTTATTCAGTTGACAACAATTATTCAAATGTGTAATATTTGGGAACCCTTTTAAGTAAAAAATATCCAGTGTCGGGGTTCCCAGCTCTTTCTTAACAAATTTCGTCTCTATGATCAGCAAGTGGCAACATAGCAGAGTTAAGGGATATGGTTTTTTTTTATAGAACAGGGGGCAAACGGGCAGGAGGCTCACCTGATGTTAAGTGATACCGCCTATGGACACTCTCAATGCCAGAGGGCTCGCGAGTGCGTTGCCGGCCTTTTAAGAATTGGTACGTTCTTTTCTTGTCCAAGTCGAATTGGTTTGGAAATACTTCAGTTATTGATTGATTTGCTATTGATTTTCACAAAATTCTCTATAATAGCGACATAATAATATATTAATAGCTTACCGTGGCCTAGGAATTATCAAGGGTGGGCGTGGAACACTATGGATGCTGTGATGGTAGCTGAACCACACACTGGGCTCGGTTTCCAAATCAGAGTCTTTGGTCAGAGCAGTTTTTTCAGCAGGCGTTTTTGTTGCGTCAACATTTTCTGCCGGCGCTGGAGTTGAGACCTCTGAAGCCTCTTTGATTTCAGGATCGACTGGGACACAGAGAACGTATCCAGCCAATAACAGAGAAATCAAGAAACGAATCTGAAATTATTTTCAGTTCTTAAGTAGAAACAAATTATAATCACAAATAAACGTATATATTATATTGATAGATTAATTTTTTATATAAAATCTGACAGAACAGTTTTGTTAAAGTAATTTAAAATTATAAAACATTTCTACGTTCTAACCATATTGCGTGTCGATTAAAAATGATAAAGGTTTTAAATGCGATTAAATAAATATCTCTTTTATATATAAATCCAAATGCTGTATTTTCTAGAGGAAAATATTGATCAATTGACCTTCAGTTGCCTTAAGAAACTTATTCTTTATTTTTGGGTTCCATTGGAAACCTATATAACCATTTCATATCATTTAATTCTTATAAATTATTTATATTAATTGTGTTTTAGCTTTGTCATATATTTCTCTCTCTCCAATCGGCATGGAAGCATCTGGAGGCTGGAGCGTATAGTTTTGAGGTCGACGAGTCGGTTTGAGCGGTAGCGCTAATTTGGCTCTGTACATCGAGAGCATCTGCCCAGTCAGTAATTAGATAGTCTAACGTTAACCCACAAAAAATTAAAGCGCTCCTAAACTTGTCTGCTATTGTTACATTTATACAAACCACAGTGGTTTTCTAATGTAACATATTATATATATATGATATTGTATGATATGATATTATTCTGTGAAATAAACAATTTTTTTTAAAAGAACTTGGTCGGTGCATCTGCTTGGTGAACAGCCAAGTGATCTTTTGCCTTCTGTCATTTTGTGTATCAACCACTATCAGGTTCTCCAAGTTCTCATCGCATCTGCGCATTGTATAGTGGAAATAAGATACAACTTACTTAGGTACTATTTATGTTCTTCTTTATTAGGACATGGTTAGTGCTACGAAGTTCTTATGTCATTTTCACATATATCTTTGTCTTAAGTACTTCATAATTTTTGATTATATTTGTGACACGTTGTTTGGGAGCATCTTCTCGAATTTAAATGATACGAAAGATAATTTTGTATCAAATTTCCTATGTATAATATTTTTTAAATTTTAATATTTATAACAAGAAGTTCTAAAAGCCAGGGTTTCATAAGAAATTTATTATTGAATATGTTAATGTACGAAACACATGTTATATAAAAATAGGCGTTTTTGCGGTTTTAATTAAGTTTTTGCTTGTATGATTAAAACGATGGAACGTTAAAAAACTAAATATATCAAGATTACAATAAAGCCGAAATTTAAGTATTTCCATACTATATTTTTTAAATTTTTGAGTGTTATTACGATATATATTTTTTATTGATAAACTATTACTTTATTGTATTACATTTAAGTGATGTGTTCTGCTCCACTCAGCAAACCAAAATAGCCCATATAGTGATGTGAGCTATTTTGGTACTTATTTATAAAAAAAAACATTTAATCACATAGGTAACATAATGAACACTTATGACTTGTCAGTAAAGAAATACATATTAATGCTTCTAATTTTACATTTACTGCCAGTTCTCAAATCAAGGGCGTAGAACGGGAGAGAAGAACTATATAATAAGAAATAAAGAACAGTGTTTAATGTATGTAAGCATATTATTTAATTCGTTAAATGAATACTTAATTCAGTATTACAATTAGTGTTAATCTTCACCAAGTATATCATATCCAAACTAATTTTATAGTTTTCGACGTAATTCTTTCGGGCCCACGTAGGGTCATGACTTCCTCCGTTACCTTGTCAGGAAGATGTAAATCATAAAATCATAACTATGACTGTGTGACCCTGACGCACTACATCGTAATAATTCCAAATACAAGATGCGTATTAAACGTATAAAATTTGTAATAGATATACTTATTTAACGGTCATAACCTTTTTCTTTTCATAAGTAGATTATATGAAATTTTTAACGCCTGTATACAAAATTCCGACAAAAATGAAACTACAATGTTTTGCCTAGTATATTGTAGATAAAAGGAAATAAATGGCTTTAAAGGAGTAGGGTAAGATTTAGAATTGATTTTGCCGTATGCCAGATATATTTGGCAAGTAGGGGTCATAGTTTGCGCTTCTGTAGGGATTAGACATAGACATAACATTTATTACCAACAAAAACATACACACACAAACACACAAAATAAGAATAATCAAAGAAAAAATATTATGAGAAAATAATGTTTTTTTTTTTCATTTTCCCATTCGGTTCGTTTCAAGTGTGTAATGCGTGTGTGCTGTGGCTGTAACTGGCCCTGGCTCAGCATTATGTTGAGGAGCACAATGTTCCACTGCGCTGGTCATTCTGCCAGAGACCACAGCAGCTAGTTTGCGCCTCAGTCGCAAAAAAGAACGAAAATAATAATAATAACATTAGATTATTATTATTTAGATAAGACATTAAGAGACACTTGACACTTCGTTGACGTCATATGACGTACAGCCTTAAAACTGATCGAGCAACATTTAGCTTAAGAAGAACACAAGAACCTTCTCCACAACACCTTCCAACAGTAAAAGAAGACTCCTAATTGTAAAAAAGTAATTTCTTAAATTATATCTAGTCTGTGAATTTAAAAATCTTGTCATTATCTAATATTTCCTATTTTTATCTAGAATACCAATGTTAATGAATTAGAATTTATTTTATTAGCTGTTAAAAGTATACAAAGTTTACAATAATAAATATTAAAATTATGCGAACAAGTGGATAATTTGCACATTTGCGTATGTGGTGATATTGTGTCAACTATAATTAAAAGCGTATTGTATAGATTTTATGATAACTACTAAAGTTTTATTGTGATAAACAATACATCAGATCCATTTGCCACATTATGAATAATTTAAATTATTATTCTAAAGCTTAGGTTTCCTAGAAAAGCGGTGCCGTTAACTAACGGCCGTCATTTTACGGTTGTTAATAACGGGCGTCTTTATATTTTTCCATAATGCAAAAAACATTTTCGCTCGTCCAAGTCACGTTTCCACTCATTGTATTAATTAAATATGGGCACCGCTACACGCGAAAAACGTTGAACTAATGTTTATCACCGCTATGACGGCCGTTATGCAAATGACAGCACCGCTATTTGACGTTACGGTGACACTCAACGTTCTCTAGGAAACCTACTCCGATGTTTTTTATAGACAACGTATGAGTGACGTCACCCAACGCTACATTACGGCCGTCAGATAACGGCACCGCTTTTCTTTGAAACCTAAGTTTAAGGTTACACTTCTTTTAGTGCCTCTCCATAACTGGACGTTGGCCGTCATTCTCTTGAAGCGTGTCTTGTCCTGTGCCAAATGC